GGATAGAGCATCGGCCTTCGAAAGGTCCCAGGTTCGATTAGGGTCAAGGGCATGTTCCTTGGTTGCGGGCACATCCCCAGTAGGGGGTGTGCAGGAGGCAGTTGATGGATTTTCTCTATCATTGATGTTTCTAACTCTCTCCCTTCCTCTCTGTAAAAAATTAATAAAATATATTTTAAAAAAATACAGGGAGGAACATCCAGTTAAGCCCTTCCAGATTCCTGACTTTCAGAAACTGTGAAATAATAAATGCCTGTTATTTTAAGATGCTAAGTTCAAGATAATTTATTACACAGCAATAGATAATACAAGCCTATCTCATTAAGACAGGAATTTCTAATAAAATTTTACCTTTTATATTTAATAATTATAAAGTGTCCAGGTGTATTTTTGTTGCTCATACTGTTAATAATTACAATAATGCCAAGCCAACACAAAATTTTAACATTCAGAATTGTATGATCATGGGATATTTTTAAAAAGTCAATTATGTTTTATTTTACATATTTTTGCTACAAAGAAGTATAAATTGTCTTTTTTTCACATATTGAAATAAAAATTTTAATTATAGCATTCTGTAAATTGTAATTGAAAACACTTGATTATTACAAAAGGTTATATATATATACTCCAACAGAATTGCTTTTGAAATTCATGAATTTCAGCCCTAGAAATATACACATTCTCCCTATGAATTTTATATCAGTGATTTTTGTTGATGCTACTGTATTATGGCGAACAAGAAGTCTTTCAAACATAAAGAGGAAAAAAATGAATGGTTGCCACAAGCTGGTATGAGAGAGGAATGGAGAATAATTATTTAAGTGTATGAGGTTTCTCTCTGAGGTGATGAACATATTCTGTAATTAGTGGTAATGGATGTACAAAATGTTACTCATGGTAAATTTTTTTTTTTTAATATATTTTATTGATTTTGTACAGAGAGGAAGGGAGAGAGATAGAAAGTTAGAAATATCGATGAGAGAGAGTCATCGATCAGCTGCCTCTTGCACACCCCCCACTGGGGATATGCCCGCAACCAAGGCACATGCCCTTGACCGGAATCGAACCCGGGTCCCTTCAGTCCCCAAGCCGACGCTCTATCCACTGAGCCAAACCGGTCTCGGCATCATGGTAAATTTTTGTTAGATACGTTTTACCATATTAAAAACTTAAATAAAATTAAATAAAATAAAAACATAAAAAAAGAAAAAATAAATCTTTCAAGTACAAAATTTCTAAAATAATAGAACTTAGGGGGCAAGTATTGGAATGGTATAATAGTATATATTCATGGAGCAAGTAAGAATCTCAAATTTCTTAAGGTTAATGAAAAGCTATTGTGTATTTTTAAAAATATATATATTTTATTGATTTTTCACAGAGAGGAAGGGAGAGAGATAGATAGCTAGAAACATCAATGAGAGAGAATCATCGACCAGCTGCCTCCTGCACACCCCCCACTGGGGATGTGCCCGCAACCAATGTACATGCCCTTAACCAGAATCGAACCGGGGACCTTTTAGTCCGTAGGCCAACGCTCTATCCACTGAGCCAAACTGGTTTTGGCTGTTGTGTATTTTTTAAATGGATAGTATCAAATCAATGTTTTTGAAGCCATTGGATACATTAAAAAGAGCAATGAAACAATTTTATTTAAAAGGATCAATATTTACAATATACTAGAAATTACATCCCTGGCAACTAATTATTATTAAACATTTTAGATGCTAATATAAAAGTGCACAAGAGGCACAGATTTTTAAAGTATTCATTTAGAAAGGGTATGTTTTATATTGCTTGGAATTTATGGTGATTCTACAATATTAAGCTTGATTTATTTAATCAATTTTGGGAAGTTCTTAGCTATTTTCTCTCCTAACATTGCTTCATTCTCTTTCTCCTCTCCTAGCTAAAATTACATGTTTATAAATCATATTCTTTATATCCCATATGTTTTTTTTTATGCTCTTTTCTGTGTTTTTCAGCCTTTTGAGTCTGTGTTTCAACCTGGATATTTTTCTGCTCTACCTCCTGGTTCACTAATTCTCTTTTCGGCTATGTCTAATCCATTATTAAAATTCATCCACTGAATTCTTAATATAAGCTACTGTAAATTTTAGTTCTCAAATTTTCAAGCTGCTGAAATCCTTATTTGCTTTTAATTGAACTCATTAATCATAACTATTTTAAAGTCTAGGTCTGGTAACTCCATTATCTGAATCCCCTGGGATTTCTACTCTAAGTCCCTGAGAATGTTTCTGAGTATGTTTTGTCTTTTCATGCTTGGCTATTTTTTGCATGACATTTTTTTTTCCATCAGAGAGAACTTACCTTTGCTTTTGGCAGGCAGTGCTAGGCTAAGAACACTAGAAAGCCAGAATCACTCTATCAAGGATCTATATTAGTTAAAATTGGGCTTTAGTCTATTTTCACCTTTATTCCTAGTGTGCAGTAGCCTTCAGGGTTCCAACAAAAAGCCTGGTATTTTATCAGGGCTCCTCCTTGGTAGGTCCTCAACTGTTTTATTCTCCCCAGCCTTGTTTATTGAATTCTCTACTCAGCTTCTCAGATTCTGCTTTTTATTTTATTGATTGATTGATTCCAGAGAGGAAGGGAAATGGAGAGAGAGAGAAACATCAATGATGAGAGAGAATCATTGATTGGCTACCTCCTGCACATCCCAAGCATGTGTCCAGCGCCAGAATCAAACCCAGGACCCTTCAATTCCCAAGCCAGTGCTCCATCCACTGAGCCAAACTGGTGAGGGCTCAAATTCTGCTTTTAGAAATACTAATCACTTTGAGAGGAAAAGTGGCTCCAAATAGTAGGCTCACTGGTCTTGGCTTCCCTCCTCTCCTAGAACTTGGGCCCATAGTTCCTCACTGCTTTGTTCATCCTCTGATGCCTTCAAAGAGATTTTAAAAACCTTTTTCTCCCAGCTCTTCTACTTGTTTTCAGCAAACAGTCGGCTCTACACAACTTTGTCCACCATTGGTGGAATTAGAAAACCTCTCTCCTGAACTTCAGACTTAGATTTCCAATAGCCTGTTGAGTGTCTTCTGACTATCCCACAGGCCCCTGGGTTCAATGTGTCCACAGGAATTCTTCCTTTCTCTCATCTCCTGCTTTTTCTGTTGTGGCTATTTCTGTCCAGGGTTTTCCAACCTATAAATGTTATCTGTAACTACTCTCTCTCTCTCTCTGCCTCCTAAATGCTATCACTTACCAAGTACTGTGTTCATTCCCTTCATTATTTTCCTTCCACCTGAGCCCAATGCTCCATGCCCTAGAATAGTATCCTTGTCCCCTTACCCCATCTCCCTCCTGAATGACTGTGTCTTTTCTGACCTTCCTCTGATCAGAACCTTCTGTACTGTCAGGAGATTCTTCCAGAACAAGGTTCATCAAGTCATTGCCTGCTTCAGGTCATTCAAAGGCTCCTTAAAGCCTCTGCAATGAAGGAATAATCCTCACCTGGGCACTCAAGCCCTCCATGATTTGACTATACCTCACTTTCTTCGCCTGCTAACATGTGCATGTGCTTTTACTGATTCTTCCATTATGGAGCCAAATCACTTCCCAGAACACAGCACCACCCTCTGCCCCTCTCCCTCTCCATCTCACCTCTCACAGAGGCACATGACTATTATCTGTAATTTAGCTTCTTGGTGTATAATAACCATAATAGCTTTGCTACCTTTAGGTAAAAACAAAAAATTTATGTAGATTTTTAAAAGCCAGTTTCATGTCCCTTGCTGACTACTTCTGGAGACATCTTTGGCCTCTGTGGTTGGTGTTCGATTTCCCCCCTCTAGGGTGGTGGTGGTGGTGGCGGAGTGTAGGCTACTGCATAAGCTTCCCCAGTCAACATGAGCAGGATACACCGGAATCACTCTATATTGTTCCCATGGTGTAGACAACATGAACTAACCATGTTATAAACATGTCCCTGGTTTAAAATACGGAAGGTGGGAAAGGTGTATGCATGTAAGTTGTGGCTAGCCAAAACGGGTTTGGCTCAGTGGATAGAGCATCCATCTGCCGACTGAAAGGTCAGAGGTTTGATTCTGGTCAACGGCATGTGACCTTGGTTGCAGGGACATCCCCAGTAGGGGGTGTGCAAGAGGCAGCTGATCGATGTTTCTAACTTTCTATTCCTCTCTGTAAAAAAAAAAAAAAAAAATCAATAAAATATATTAAAAAAAAAAAAAGAGTTGTGGCTAGTACCATTAGGGAGGAGCCAGGAGCCCTGGGTTTCCTGACCACTGACTCCCTTCCCACACAGGGGCCTCAGTCTCCTTATGAACCAGGTGATCGCTACAGAATTTAACAGCTCCAGGAAGGTCTGCTAATATCATCGCTGTCCTAACTTCACCGCACGTCGGGCTCAGCACTAGCGTCCCCTCAGCACTAGCATCCCCTCAGAGGTGTAGGCACCAGGTCGGTGACGTCTTCATGGCTGCTTTCAGTCAAGCGCCACTTCCGCCTTTCTGAAGCCACGGAGCTCACACCACACACATACAGACACACACACACACACATACACACACCCGCCACACACACACACACACACATACACACACCCGCCACACACACACACACACACACACACACACCCGCCCCCAGGCCACCTCAAGTCACGAGGAGCTCACACCACACACACACACCACACACGCCACACACACCACACACACCACACACGCGCGCGCGCCCCCAGGCCACCTCAAGTCACGAGTTTCCCTCGGAGGCCCGCCCCTCCCTCTGCTGATTGGGTAGCTCTTGAGCGACTTCCGTCCTCTGATTGGTTGTTCCCTTTCCGGCCCTCCAATCTCGTCTAGACCAACCTGACGTGGGGGTAGGATTTCCGCTTCCGCTTTCTCACTCCAGCTTGCCCTCCGAGCGTAGACGCCGCCACCGAGGCCGCTGCCGGGAAAGGTGTCGGTGGGCTTGTTGGTGTGTCTCCCCGCGTCGGTGCCGGTGCCGTTGAACTGCCCGCCATGGCTGACGTAGACCCGTTCGGCGCCCCTGCCGCCACTCCCGGCGGCCCCGCTCTGGGGAACGGGGTGGCCGGCGAAGAAGACCCGGCCGCGGCCTTCCTGGCGCAGCAGGAGAGCGAGATCGCGGGCATCGAGAACGACGAGGCCTTCGCCATCCTGGACGGCGGCGCCCCTGGACCCCAGCCGCACGGCGAGCCGCCGGGGAGTCCGGGTGAGAGTGCGGCGCGCGTGGGGCGGGAGGGCTTGTCTGGGAGCTCGGCCCTCCGTGGCTCCGAGGGCTCCGTGTCACTTGTTCTTTGCTGAACCGGGAGGCGGAGTGCGGAGAGGAAATGGGACCCCGGCCGGGTCATGCGGGGAACCTGGGCCTGAGGCGCTGACTCCGTGGCTTTTCCTCTGTGGGTGTGTGCGAGCGCTCCGGGGCGCGAGCTGGGGAGGAAGCAGAGCGAAGCAAGTGGGGGGACAGTCCCGCCGAGGAGCCCGGAGAAGCTCGTCCAGTTCCGGGACTTTTCAGGGAGCACTTGCCCCGCCTGAGCCTGGCCTCGGAAGCACCGCCGCATTGGCGCAGTTTGGCCGGACTAACAGGCAGCTCTGAGCCCAGCCCGGGGCCCGTCATTGGGAAGGAGGGCAGGAAAAAAAAAAAAAGTTCGTTTAGACACATCCAGACAGAAATGGCAGGGATGCATGTCAGCGCTGAAGGTGTACAGAGTGTTGGGTTGTGGGGAGGAGAGGAGGAGTGGATAGGAAACTCGAGGGAGATGACCTAGCCTTGGAGAAAGAAGCCGGCCAAAGAGGGGTGAGAGTTTTGCCATTTTTTTCGAACGTGTTATTACGGTCGGACTGCAGGAACGCGGCTTCCTCTGGAAATGGCTTTGATAGGCAGTGTTGTCTAAGCAGAATGAAAGATTAGGAGGAGGCCAAGCGCAAGGAAAAACAAGCAAAAAGCGGTATGCCAATTTTTTGACCTTTTTATTTAATGCCGTATCTGTGTGATGTTTAGGATTGTCTTGGTGGGAGGGAAGGATGAGTGGCCGAAATCTTCTCAGTTATTTAGGGAAGGAGGAAATTAGCTAGAAGTGAAATGTGGCTTTTCCTTTACGTTTTAATTGATTGGTTTGAGAGAAAGAAACATTGATGGTTGTTCCATTTATACGTTCATTGGTTGAGCCTTGTATTTGTCCTGAGCGGGGATCGAACCTGCAACCTTGATATATCAGGCGGACACAAACCAACTGAACTACATGATCAGGGCTTTCATTGACTTTTTTTTTTTTTTTTTTAATTCTTAATTGAAGGAGAATAAGGCACTCGCGGAGCAAATGGGAGTTAAGGGGCAAGCAATTAGCATGAATGAGAAAAACATGCTGGTGTGAGATAATGAGTGTTGGAGACTGAGGCTTTGGTGCGTTAGAATGGTGCTTTTCAGAAAAGCCTTCAGACTCAGAAGCCTCAAAATACTATGCCAACCAAGCAGAATCTTTTGGGGGGAGTGGTCGTGGGGAGATCTGTCTCTGGGATCTGTCCCCCAGTATGTGATAATGTGTAATATATCGATACCTGAAAATGCAATTTATAGCTAGCAGGTTAGACTGAACTTGATTGTGGCTGGAGGTGAAGTTGGCTTTGTGTGATATAGGTGTTTTGTTGTTATTGTGTGGTCTTTAACATTTGCCTAAGAATCATAAAATGTGCTTTTTTTTTTTTTTTTTTTTTTTTAAAGGTCCTTAGTTTACCTCCCTCCCTCATTTAACAGAAGAGAAAATGAGTCCTACAGAGAAATTACTTGCTTAAGGGCAAGTTAATAGCCGAGCCCTTTCCCCACCCTCCCACTATATAATATTCTGTTGCAGTTTCATCAGGGATGTACTGGGATAAGAGATTGTCATTTCTGAAAAGCAGCTGTGGCCGCCCTGGGTAGGACAATGTTGGGAGAATTAGGACCCATCGTTAGGAGACTGTCCTGATTCAAGGACAGTGTTGCGCACTGTTGTATCCACAATGCCTGGCAGGGCATCTGGACTTAGATACTCACAGAAAAATGGGCAAAAATGTCCATTCTGGGTGATTGGCAGTGTGAAAGGTAAAAGGGAGAAAATAGAGTTAGACTCGTGGGTCTTTTGTGCATTAAGCTTTCAGCAAAGGGAAGGAAGGGATGATTGCTGACTTAGTTCCTAGGAAGGCCTTTCTTAGTGAACTAAGCATTTAGTGATTGAAAGCCTGATCTCTGACAGCGTAGTTGGAGTTGGTAATAGTGCCGCTGTCAGCACTTCCTTGTGGGATTAGAGAACTAGTTAGACTTTTTTCCCCCTTTCCTCTCTCTCTTCCTCACCCTCTTTTTCCCTTTCTTTTCCTCTCTCTTCACCCCTCTTTTGCCCTCTCTACCTCCTCCTTTCCTCTCCAACTGTCTCTCTGTCTGTGCTGCCCTGGACTGCTTGTGTGAATATAGCTTTTCTGGCAGCCTATGTAGCCACCACTGCCTTGCCTGAGTTTTTTCTCCTGTAAAAGGTGTAAAACATATGCCACATAGGGTTGCTAGGATTACATTAGAAAGCACCTGTAAGGTGCTTACACACAGTATATTATTACTGCACACAGTCCCTAGCTACTGTTATTTTTTGGGAGTAGGGAGAGAAGGGTATTACAGGCCTGTGGGCTTTCAGGGAGTGTGTTGAGGAAACAGATTTTAGGAGGGAGCTCTGTATCCCCCCTAAATCTAAAGGCAGGAGGCTCTTAACAGAGGAGCTACCTAAACTCCTCCCAGCCGTGGGGGAGAGGCCCAGGGAGGATGGGGGAGAGGCCCCGGGAGGATGGGGGAGAGGCCCGGGGAAGATGGGGGAGAGGCCCGGGGAAGATGGAGATCAGGCTTGAACCCTGGATGATCCCTGTTATTAGGAGAGGTGGGAAAGATACATAGATTTAAAGATGGGAGGTAACCAGCCTGGTGAAGTGGCTCCAGGGATATTGATGAAGAACAAGTGGTTAGGAAAGAGGCAGCCTGATTCTAGAGTTGAAAACCTGCAGTCAGGAGGGAGGAAAAGAGGTGATTAAGGAACTACTAAAGGAGTATGGCACTGAGGCACTATTTGGTATGTTTCTGTCAGGTTCTTCCTTGGGGGAGAAGTAGTAGGTGTTTTCTTCCTAATAAAGTTGATAATTTAATGACATAGAAGGGAGAATAATTTTCAAGGAAATCTCATGCATGGTATTTAGTAGTACTACCCATTCACTGCATGCCAGGTTCTAAGTGGTAGTGTCATCCTATTTCAGATGAAAACTTATGATGGAATTTAAACAATGATCCTAATAGCATTTAAGCTAATACATAGCGTGTTTCCCCGAAAATAAGACATCCTCTGAAAATAAGACCTAGCGCATGGAAAGATAAGACATCTCCTGAAAATAAGACCTAGCGCAACTTTGGGGGGAAAAATTAATATAAGACACTGTCTTATTTTCGAGGAAACAGGGTAGCTCCACTGGAATCAAACCCTGGTCTGCTTGACTTCAAAGGTTGGGGAGTTTGAAGGTGGGTTTGGGACAAAAAGTCTTTATCTCTGGAATCATATCTGACCCTTGTTTCTGTTTGGATGACCTAGACCAGTGGTGGTCCGTGAGGTCCGAAAGGTTGGTGACCGCTGCCCTAGACAGTTTACTTCTGAGGCATCAGATTGCTTAGCTTAGTTGTCCTAATAAGTCAAGGCGCCCTAATGTCCTTTCTGCATGTTTCTGTAGCAACAGACGATTCTCTGGGAAGGTATCAGAGTTCAAAGCATTTTCCATTGGGTCTCGAAGAATCTTCAGACCCAAAGGACAGATAGCATGTGACTTAGGAGGTATGGGATGAGAACTGTTTCTAGTTTTGTGATGGAATAGTGATCAAAGACTTTCCTATTGGGAATGGCCCAGGGCTAGAATATAGTTGGTATGTTAGCTGTAATTTATTAACCAGAATGTCCATCTGGCTTGTAGGCTCTAGGATTTAAAATTATCTCTTTTCTGCCGTAACCGGTTTGGCTCAGTGGTCTGTGGACTGAAAGGTCCCAGGTTCGATTCTGGTCAAGGGCATGTACATTGGTTGCGGGCACATCCCCGGTAGGGGGTGTGCAAGAGGCAGCTGGTCGATGTTTCTCTCTCTCTCTCTCTCTCCCCCATCCTCTCTGTAAAAAATTAATAAAATATATTTTAAAATTATCTCTTTTCTGTCTTACACAAAAATAAATTCTGGGTGAATTAAAGAGAGGATCCCCGCCCCCGCCCCCCCCCCCCCCCCAAGTACCAGGAGAAAAGTGAATATTTATCTTGGAATAGGAAAGGCCTTTAGCATAAAAGCAGATACAGAAATCATAAAGGGAAAATTGATATTGTCTACATACAAGTTAAGTTTTTGGTGTTAAATATCATAAACCATATAAAAGTAAGTAGGGAAAACACTTTGTAGTATGAGAGGAATAATTCATACAGAGAGAATATTTAGAGATAAAAATGGGCAAAACAGATCAGTAAAGAAGAAAATCGTGTCAGATTTTTAATTACCTCATAGGAAATAAGATTGGCACAACAAAGCCACCTTAAGTTTTTTGTTGTTGTTTTTTGCTATCAAATTAACAAAATTTTTTTTTTTTTAAAATATATTTTATTGATTTTGTACAGAGAGGAAGGGAGAGAGATAGAGTTAGAAACATCGATGAGAGAGAGTCATCGATCAGCTGCCTCTTGCACACCCCCTACTGGGGATATGCCCGCAACAAAGGTACATGCCCTTGACCGGAATCGAACCCGGGTCCCTTCAGTCCCCAAGCCGACGCTCTATCCATTGAGCCAAACCGGTCCCGGCCAAATTAACAAAAATTTTAAAACATTATAAAACTGTCTCAGTGAAGGTCTGAGAAAAATGGAATACCGAATTGGTGTTTAGAAACTTTTAAAAATTTAAATGTATGTCCTGTGTCCCAGCAATTCTACACCAATAAATTTATTACTGAGGTTTAGTTTAATATCCTCCCACCCCTCCCAAATACTTTGATTAGTTTTTTTAGTGAAGTTTATATTTCCAAAAGTTTATAGAGTACTTTTATTTATCATCATTATTATTGTTTATTGATTTCAAAGAGGAAGGGAGAGGGAGAGAGAGAAACATCAACGATGAGAGAGAATCATTGATCAGCTGCCTTCTGCACATCCCACTCTGGAGATAGGCCCACAATCAGGGCATGTGCCCTGACTGGGAATTGAACCATGACCTCCTGGTTCAAAGGTCGATGCTCACCCACTGAACAAGCCATGCTGCCTGGGTTATAGAGTATTTTTAAAAATTATATGGGTAGGTGGACGGACAAACAGCTTGGAGCATAAAAAGGCATGATAAAAACTATGAGAAACTTTATTTTGTACTATCATAAATAAAGCATAGGAACAAAAGAATTAAGTTACTGGTTCGATTCCTGGTCAGGGCGTTTACAGAGGATGGATGTTTCTCTCACATCAATGTCTCCCTCGCCCTCCTCCTACAGATTCATAGCCAGCAGCTGAAACAATAAAGCTGAAGTGTGTTGGTAAATGCTTAGATCCTGCAGTTTGTGTTCATGTATCAAATTATCAGATGATATTTCCTCTGACTTCCTGGCTTGCTTAGATATTGCACCACTTTTTAAAGGCTGGTTATTTCATAATACATATGTATTTAATATTCTTCTTACATTTTTAAACAAAAAAATAAATTTAAGAGAAAATAGTGTCATCAATTATCTGGCCCTTCAAGAATACCTTATTCACTTCAAGGAACCCTATGCATATTCTAAGGTCATTTGTAAAGTGCTGATACATATAAGTTTGTGTGAGGATTAAAACTTAATGTATATAAAGGTTTAATACTGTGCCTGGCACATTGGAAGTGATAAGTAGTGGGTGTCTTCTTCCTAATAAAGTTGAGAATTTAATGATATAGAAGAATGGATTAGTAAAAAGAAAAAAAAAAAGAAAGAAAAAAATTATGTCTTATTTATTTTTAAAAATATATTTTATTGATTTTTTTACAGAGAGGAAGGGAGAGAGAGAGAAACATTGATGAAAGAGAGTCATAGGTCAGCCGCCTCTTGCATGCCCCCTTTGGGGATGTGCCCTTTACCGGAATCGAAACTGGAATCCTTCAGACGCAGGCTGATGCTCTATCCACTGAGCCAAACCGGTTTCTCCAGATTATGTTTTAGAAGTTAAGTTTTCCTGAAAAATTTCATCTATATACATTAGATAAACTAACTAACAGGATAGAAACCAAGGGGTTGAGTGATGAAATGACCTGGTATTTTCTTTCTCCATTTTCCTTTTTTTAAAAACAGAATGCTTTGGTATCAGGAAGACATGCTGGGGAAATGATCTATAAAAGTTTTCAGTACTCTGAAAGCCAAGGGGATGGTAATTGGGAGAAGCAAGAAAACGAAAAGAATGGATAAAATGTTAATGTTGATTTGGAAAATGGGCAGTTAAAATTGGGTTTATGGGCATTCCCCGAAGATATTACCAGTTCAATTCCAGACTACTGCAATAAAGCAAGTATTACAATAAAGGGAGTCGTAATCTTTTTTATTATGGTTGAGGATCTTGCCTTCAATTTGTAAAAAACACTATATTTGTGAAGTGCAATAAAAAAGAGGTATGCCTGTAATTAGTTAGGAACCAAGACCAGAGGAGTGGTTCGATGAAACCTTTGCCTGTTAAAGGAAAACAGGCTGAGAGCACCTGTCCCAGAGGAAAGCTGTGCAAATATTTTCATATGTTGCCCTCTGAGGGCTCCTGATGGTGGCCCATCCTGAGTGTTTGGCATTTCTTTCATTACTTGAATTCTTAAGTCATTTAGGTTCACCTCTTTCAGCTTTCCTCTCCTACTCCATGCAATAAAATGTCATTGTAGTTTGAAAAAAATTGGTCAAGATAATGGAAGTTCTACATAATCTCTATATATAAAAGCCAAGCAACCAGTCACTATGACTTGCACTGCAGCCAGTCAACCTGCCCAGTCGGGGGCAGGGCCAGACGGCCAACCTCTTGCGGCCCCTCCCCCCCAGCTTGCCCAGCCTGATTGGACCTCACTGGTGCACTAGTAAGCATGGGTCAACCAACAGATACAGAATACAGATTATGGAGGTGGAAGGTAAATTTTTTGAGGCTTTTGAAGTTAATTGGAGCAGCTACTCCAGAGTAATGGAGTGCAGCCCTGTAGAGACTGCCTCGCGGTTAGGTTAGGAACACATGCTTATCAGACTAGTCAGCTAATTAAATTAGTGACACACAGAATCGGTTTTGGGGGCTTCCCTGCCAATGTGGCTCAGTTGGTTGGGAACTCCCCATGCACCTGAAGGTTGTCTGTCTGATCCTGGGCTCCATCCCCGGCAGGAGGCATGCAGGAGGCAGCTGATTGATGTTTCACTATTACATCAGTGTTTCTCCCTCTCCCTTTCTCTCTAAAATCAATTTGGATATCTTTTTTTAAAAAAAAAAATTGGGGCTACGGAGGACTGGCAAATTGTTCAGAGCATGCTCCATATGAAGGCTACCCTCATTTCCAACACTTACCAATTCAGGAATGCAGACCCATTATTGCCATATCTTCTGTCTCTCTGCCCCTTCCCACAAACATGGAAATCCTGATTTTTGAGGAATTTCTTAACTTAGTTCTTTATATTTTAAATAAAATATGCTCAGCATGTGGGCCACCAATTTGTACTATGTGGATTGATAGTCTCTAGGTCTTACTTAGGCATTTTTTATATTTCTGAGGTAGACTTTCTCATTTGGTTATGAATAATTGTGTCAGTAAGACTGGGTTGTAGCCCTGGCCATTGTGGCTCAGTGGTTGAGCATCATCCTATGAATTAGGAGGTCATGGTTTGATTCCTGGTCAGGGCACATGCCTTGGTTGCAAGCTGGATCCCAAGTGTGGGGAGTGCAGGAAGCAGGTGATCAACATTGCTGTTTCTCTTCCTTCCTTTCCCTACTTCTCTGAAATTCTATATAATGTTGAGTAACTTACAATACCTACTGCATACAATACTATATTTTACTCTGTAATCCTTTTGTCTTAGCATTTGATCAGCCCTAATTGGTGAATTGCAATCTTATGTCTTGCAGATGCTGTTGATGGAGTGATGAATGGCGAGTACTACCAGGTACAGAATACTCTTAATTATGTTGAATGATAGTGGTCAGAGTCTTCCTTTCCTGTGATTTGAATGGACTGATTTAGGAAGGACCCAACTCCCTTGATTTTCCTGGATATATTAGTACCTGGTATGTTACCTAACAAAGTAGAAGGTTTGGGAAAAAAGTGACACTTATAGAGTTTTCCTTTAAAATGTTACTGACCAGGCCTAGTGTTAACTTTATTCTCAAGAAATGACTGATGATGATGATGGCGATGATGATGGCAGCGAATTTAAACACACTCTGTGCTGTGAAACACTGTTTATACTTATTTAATTCTCACAACAACCTGGGGTACCTGTACTGTTGTTATATCTGTGTCACAGATGAATAAATGGAGGCACACAGGTTAAATCAGTAGCTTAAAGCAGCGGTCGCCAACTGGTGGTCCGAGAGGCCGAAAGGTTGGCGACTGCCGTCTAAAGTAACAGGCAGTGAGTATGTGTGGGCCCGAGGGTGAACTGACTTTTACTTTTCCTATAAAAGGCCACATAGTTAAGGTACTAAGCCTTGTGAGTTATAAGGTCTGTCAGACTACTCTGCTGCTGCAATATGAAAGCATCCATAAACAGTACATAAATGAACCGACTTAGCTGTGTTTTAGTAAAATCTAATTACAAAGCAGGTGGCAGGCCTCCTGATGGGTAGTTTCCAATCCCTGGTTTAAGATTGGCCTTTAGAGTGAAACAGAATGGGGTTTAGATCCTGGCTTTATCCTTACTGGGGGGATGGGGAACATTCAGCCCGTGGGCCATATAAGGCCCGAGCTGGCACTGTCAAAGCATTAGGGGTGAGCTATTTAAATGTTTGACCAAATATAGCTGGCTAATTTTTAAATGTTTTTATTTTAGAAGGAGAGGAAGGGAGCCGGAGAGAGAGAAAGGCTGATGGGCTGCCTCATGTACTCCTCCTATTGGGGATCAGACTGGCAGTCTGAGCATGCCCCAACTAGGAATGGAACCTGTGGCCTCTTGGTGCATGGGGCAGTGTTCAACCAACTGAGCCACACCAGCCAGGCAGCAGGCTAATTTTTAAGTTGATAATTCTGTATGGCCTGTGAATGATGTTGTAAATATCCAAATGGCCCTTGGGGAAAAAACATTCCCCACCCCTGCTTTTCTAGCTATGAATTTGGGCCTGTCACTTCTCTCTGCCTCAGTTTAATTCCCTAGCTGTGAAATAGGAATAAAAACTTGCCTTGCAAGGTGTTTGGCAGAAAGAGCTTTTATGTGCCTGAAACATAAAAAATGCTAGAAAGTTAGTTACTAATAATTTAAATTTTTTTTCTACCTTTGTAGATAGTCTAGTTAGGTTAAACTGGTAATCCCTAGTTCAAACGGTGAAATAACTCTCTAAAGGATAAGTTCTGTTTGAGTCTTTTAGTTCCCAAATCTAACCCACTATATAAAGAGCAGTCTGCACACACATACACATGCATGCCTCATTTTTTTCCTTGATGTGTAACTAGGTATACATTTTCTTTTGGACTTTCCTCAAATTCACTATATTTTGATAAGATGGTATTAAGTGACCTACTTCCTGCATTATATAATAACGTTTAGGTCTTAAGTTCTAAGCCTTGCTCTACTGTGTACACTCACCTTTGTTACTTTAAAAATATCACATAATCTCTTTGTCAAGTGAGGAAACCAAAACTGATAACACTGTTTCCCAGTAACTCCATTACTCACCTCCCTGACTTTCCTATCTCCCACTCCTGTCCCATTTATTAACAGATAGGGTAACAACTACTCTGCCTCTTCCTGGGCTGTAAGGATTAAGTGTGGTAATGCTGAAAGCTCCTTATCAGGTTGTGTCATTGCTATTAAGGTCATCCTTCGGCATTTTAACCATCTTCAGTGCTGTACATACCCAGGGGTTCTAACTTGAATGCAGTGCATTTCAGGAAGGGGTTTTTGGTACTGATAGAATACAATTGTGTTTTGTATTAATTAAGGAGAGTAATGGCCCAACAGACAGTTATGCAGCTATTTCACAAGTGGATCGATTGCAATCAGAGCCTGAAAGTATCCGTAAATGGAGAGAAGAGCAAACGGAACGCTTGGAAGCCCTGGGTAAGGAATCCCTTTCTGTCTTCGGGTATCGGTTTTCAGTGGAATAGTTGACCTTGACTCTCCTTTTATTCCTTTTTCACTTGAATTAGCCATTATGCCCTTTGTCTGGTGTTTGGGACAATAATCTTTCTCAGCCTGAAGGTCACAAGGCTACTAATGAGGAGATACTTAATCACAGGCCATTGTGTAAGGATCAGGGCAGCCCAGAAAGCCACCAACTGTATCCTCTCCTCTCAAGAAGAGCAGGGTGGTGCTATGGAAAGGAGCCGTGGACTTGGAGTGAGAAGACTGGGTTCAAGGCTCCGCCCTTAGCCCTTACCAACTGTGCACACTTGCTTGCACAAACCTTGCGGAGTCTGTTTCTTCATCTGAGAGGAGAAGATCAGTGTTACCAAACCCCCGGGAATTCTGCGATGGTATTTAGGGGAGCTTTGTAAACTTGAAGTAGTGCTTAAGAGGAAAATGTGAGCTGTTGGAAAACATACAATTTGTTTTTTCTTACCCTGATACCCTTGAAAGGTAAGTTTTCACACTTTTATGGGTGAGGAAAGTGAAAAGCATAGGTAGAGTAATAAGGTTTTTAATCACACAGCTAAGAAGTAGAGACCGAATTTCAACTTAAGTTGGTCCTGCTTCAGAGTCCATATCCATCGTTTCATCCACATTGCATTTAGTATACACCATTTGGGCCAGCCAGCCTGGCCTTATGTGAAGGGCTGTCTGTGTACATGAGGTGTCAGCTGTTGGGTAAGATCAGGAGAGACTTGGTATCTGTATATGCGGGTTAGAGAGGTATGGCAGAGTGTGAGTATTTATTTTTTCTCAGCTTTTTATTAAAATTTCAAACAGAATAGTTGAAAGAAGATACATGTGTTGTAAATATACAATCACATACTTTTTTTGTCCATTTTAAGAGACAGACATCATATACTTCATGCCTAAATATTTTATTGTAAACATAGAAATATAACATTCTTCTCTATAACCTCAGTGTCAGCATTATTCCTTCTTAGTAGATACCACTGACCTAGTAAAAATATGACTCATTTTTTCAGATAGGGTGACACCTAGAAATAGGGAGGGACGTGACCCTGATAACACAGCCAATTAATGTAAAATCTGTTGCCTCTCCAGCCCAATTTATGACTTTCAAAATACTGGGCACACTTAGGTTTGAATCTTTCAGAACTATCCACTAGTGATTTCTGCGGTGATGGAAACATTCTGTATCTGTGCTGTCCGACGTGGCAGCCACTAGCCACGTGTAGCTAGAGAGCACTCTAAATGTGGCTTGTATGACTGAGAAACTGAATTTTAAATTTCATTTAATTTAATAAACTTAAATAGCCACATGTGGCTAGTAGCTCCTCTGCTGGAGAGTACAGCTTTAGAAAGATGAAAATAGGTCTTCATGTGCCAGCAGCCTCAGGCCTTGCTTATTCTTTGTGTATGTCTTCTTAGGAGGCTTAGAGGCGGGACTTAACTGGTATTACTGCTACTAGGTATTTTTCATGTTACAGAACCCAACTTTCTCTTTCTCTTTTCTCAATGTTTAACAAAGTTGTCTTGTTCATGGAGAGAGTTCACTTTAGTATCTGTGAAAATTGCATTTTCTTCTTCATTTATCAAACTGCACATTTGGGAAATATTCCATGAAGTATTGTCTTCGTAACTCAAGATATCTTCCTGAGGGAAGTCAAACATTTGACCTTACATTCTAACAGAATGGAATTAAATTGGTCCCGAACTAGGTGTTTCTTCAGTTTCACTTTTTTTCTTTGCAAGAACTGTGCGAAGGCACAAAATGCTAAGAATAGAGAACCGGAGTCAGTGGTTTGCAGCTTAGCTACTGGCTGTTCTTAAATAATTTGCTTTTCTGTGAACAATAATGTGGATGGCCAGAGGAGACAGCTGTCAGTGTGCCCTGCTTTCTAAGGGGATTCTTTATCCCTTTTCTCCTCCCCTCCCCCTTCCATAATCAAAGAGATTGTATTATGGCTTGGATAGTTAAGTTAAACGTTTAAGAATTCTAAATTCGTATTCCCAGTGTCACTTCATAAATCTGTAAAATAAGACAATTTAAAGGGACTGTTTTATGCAGAACCTAGTTTGTACAGATGGTAACAATTTTTATTTAGACAAAAATTTGAGTAAATTTCCATGATATTTTGTTCTTACTATATAACATTTAAATTATCAGGCTACCCAGAAAGAAAATACTCTTCAATCAAAGGGTAATTTTTTGGAAGTAATTTCACCAGTCTTAAAAGGGGACCTTACATTTTTAAAATATAATTTTCCAGTTTCTTATCCACATGGCACTGGCAACCCTCAGCCTCTCCCATTGCATCGTACACCCTCCATTCCGCAAACACGTGGACAGATAGGCACCAGAAATTTACTCTATATACTTGAGTCATAAGTGGGTAATCTGAGTAAAATAATTATCCTCTGAGCAATAGGTCACCTCCTGATAAGTTAGATAACAGGGTAAAAGTTCTTTTATAATGTGTTGGAGTTTTTAGATGTTTTTAGTCTGTTTCTAGCACATACTGCTTTCTGCAGGTTTTTTCTACAAGACAATTTTTTTTTTGCAAAGTCCCTCAAATGCTTCATTTCTTCCTTTGAATGGTTGTCATCACTGCTTTATACTCTCCCCCTTGAGGATACTAATTACAGGGTGGGCTCTGGCTCTACACTGCCCAAACTAGTCTGGACCAATGGCTACCACCTTCAGTCACATCTTAGGATTAATTGTAGGCTTGCTTCCCTTTCTGCCCTGCCCTTGGAGGCAGCATAATCTTATCTAATCAAAGAGTAATATGCAAATTGACCATCACTCCACACATAAGATGGCCAGAAGGGGAGGACAATTGAGAGGGTCCAGGCCTACAAGGGAGGGCAGTTGGGGGCGACCAGGTCTGCAGGGAAGGGCAGTTGGGACACACATACACACACACACACACACAGCACCAGGCCTGCAGGGGAGGGCAGTTAGGGGCAATCAGGCTGGCAGGGAACAGTTAGGCATCAGTCAGGCTGGTAGGTAGAAGTGGTTAGGAGCAACTGGGAAGGCAGGCAGGTGAGCAGTTAGCAATCCTGGATTGTGAGAGGGATGTCCGACATTTAATAAACAGGCAGTCGGACATCCCTTGAAGGGTCCCAGATTGGAAAGGGTGCAGGCTGGGCTGAGGGACACACACCCCCATGCACAAATTTTGTGCACCAGACCTCTAGTAAAGTAAGAATATATGAGCTTTACAGCCAGACCTGGGTTTGAGTCTTGGTTCTGTTACTCACTGTAACCTTTATAAAGATGTCTCCCTTTCAGAGCTGTAGTTTTTCTCACTGCTAGGAGACTACAGTTTACCTTGGGATTGTTGTAAAGATTAAGTGAGAAAGGATACCCGAACGGATGTCCTTAAGAGCATATTTCAAGTAAAGTGTCAGAGTAACTTGAGGTGTCAACTGCAGCAGTGGCTGTGACATGCTGCCTTTTCTCCCACTATTTACTGACATGTGTCTATTTTAGTTAAATGTCTTAGGAAAACCCATATTTAAACCCGAAAAACTTCCTGCTGGATATGCATTTTCTCTAATTTCTGGAACCTTTGTGAATAACTGCCAATAATGATCTCAATGCCCTGCAGTTCCCTCCACTGGAGTCTCTTTAGCTCTGTCACAAACTCACTGTGCAGTCTAAGCAGGGATAAATATTTGTATTCCTCCTAACTCGAACATCTATATTCTGTTCCCTGGTTCCTGAATCTTCCCTACCTTCTGGTAATTTTCCCAATAGCATCCTGCTTCATAGAGGCGCTTCTACCATATTTAGCTAAAGAGTGTCATCTTATGTTTTACAGAACCATTAATTGTCAACCTGAGGTGTAGACTATAAATTTGAGATTTGTTAAAAGGTTATCTAATATGGCCCAGCTGGCATGGCTCAGTGATTGAGCGTTGTTAACCTGTGAACCGGGAGGGCATGCCTCGATTCCTGGTCAGGGCACATGCCTGGGTTGCAGGAGGCAACCAAGCAAGGATTCTCTCTCATTGATTTCTCTTTCTCGCCCCCCTTCTTCTCTGAAATAAAAAATATATTGTAAAAAAAAAAAAAAAAGGATTATCTAATATGAATAGCCAACCCTAAACTGATATTGGCAACCAAGAATCATCTGAAGCCCTGGCCAGTATGCCCCAGTGGTTATAGTGTCAGTCTGCACACCAGAAGGTTGTGGGTTGGATTCCTGGTCAGGGGTGCCTATCTGTGTTGTGGTTCGATCCCCAGTCCTGGTTTTAGGGCTTCTGTGGGAGGCAACCAATTGATGTGTCTTTCTCTCAACAATGTTTCTCTCTTTCTCAGTCTCCCTCCCTCTCTCACAAAAATCACTGGAAAAAATATCTTCCATGAGGATTAACAACAACAACAAAATTTTTGTAATTGCTGTTTCCCTAGTTGGAGTCCCAAAGGCTTGTTTCTATTAAAAGTCAGTATTGGCACGCCCGCCCTCCTAAAGAAAAACAGACTGCCAACTAGCGATCACAAAAGTGTCAGTGGATTGGGATAACATGCGGGAAACACCTTGGATAGAATCGCTGAGGTCAAGAGCTGGATGTACAAACAAGGAAAAACAAAATTTCTTTCCTCCTGACTATTCTCCCAATATACATTTGCACAGGTTTTGTCTCATTTGTATAGTTTTTCCTTTCTTCAGATGCCAACTCTCGGAAGCAAGAAGCAGAGTGGAAAGAAAAGGCAATAAAGGAGCTGGAAGAGTGGTATGCGAGGCAGGATGAGCAGCTACAGAAAACAAAAGCAAACAACAGGTCAGTCCCTGGTGCTTCTTGGCACAACTTGTATTCCAAGATTGAGTCATCATTTCCAACAGCCAGGATAGGTTCTCAGCTGCTCACTCTTTCAGTGTGAAATGTGTTTGCAGGTTTCGAAAAAGTGCTTGAAACAAGGGTTGCAAGTCTCTTGGTTCATGTGAGCAGAATTTAAAGCCTGCTAGCCTTCCCAGTTAGAGTGAGTTTAGGTCTTTAACCAAGAGTTTGATTCATATGTACCACCTATAATGGTATGATACAGCAAAGGAAAAATCGTTTCATGGATCAAGTCCATGTATAAGATGTAACCCTGAAATGAAAGGCTGTTTCATGACTATAATACCAGGATCTTAGTCCGCTGGAAGTGATTATAAATTTTGTCATGTTGTATCCCCTAACTACAACCCTGCCCTCTGAAAGCTGCTTCACAAGAGGGATCCGGTAGCAGGGAAATGCAATTTGTAATTAGGTAGCCAAACACAGAGACTTCAGAATTAAGGGTTCTCTGGGTATGTATCTGTGTCTAAAAAGATCTTGAGTTGATTTTTAAAAAAATGCTCTTTTTAGAATTTACTCACTAAAGGTGAGATAGTTGTGGCAGGAAACATTGTGTCAGTAGCTGTGTTCCTTATGCCGCACGCCTGGCGTACATGTGGAATTAGCTCTGAGAGGCAGAGGCAACGCTGCCTGCCTCGGTGTCTGTGGGCTTGCTTTCCCTGCTGGATTGACTTTACTCACTTCACTATAGACAGGTCTTGGGGATAGTTTTCTTTCTTTCTTTTTTTTTTTTTTTTTTTTTTTTTTTTTAATTTTATTGATATTTTTTAGAGAGTGGAAGAGAGAGGGATAGAGAGTTAAAAATATCAATGAGAGAGAAACATCGATCAGCTGCTGCTTGCACACCTCCCACTGGTGATGTGCCCGCAACCAAGGTACATGCCCTTGAGCAGAATCGAACTTGGGACCCTTCAGTCCACAGGCCAAAGCTCTATCCACTGAGTCAAACCAGTTAGGGCTCTTGAGGATAGTTTTAATTTTCAGGGTAAAGAGCCTTAGACTTCTATCCTCAGAGGCAGAAGTGGGTGTAAGTGCCCTTCTCTCTGTCAGCTCTATTATATGGAAATTTGCCAGAAAAAAAGGGAGCTGATGGCTTTGCCAGCCAGCCTGTGCCATTGTGGGGCAACCCTGATAGAAGAGATAGACTGTTTATACAGCAGTCTTCCTGTTGGCCATCCTTGGTTCTGCCAGCTGCCCCTCAGATGCCAGGTTTGAGCCTTGGTTCTGGCCAGTTTGCTGTGGTGGATGCATTCTCTGTGCTTACTGGTTCCATTTAAAGTTCTAGGGATAAGTATGGTGGGGCTGCTCTCGGGTCCGGGGCTTCTGCTGAGCTTGTGATCGCTTTGAAGTGCTGACAGCCAGGCTTATCTTTTGCTTATTTAAGATGGTTTCCCCAGCTGTGAGTTCACAGCTCTAAAGAAAGATGAGTGGATGCTTTGTATAAAACGCTGTTTACCCTGGTGTGTCGTCTTAGCTCTGTGGTCCCTGAGGCTTAAGCAAGTTGACATTCAGATTCTCATACTTAAAATATTACGTTGGGGATATAGGTTTCCCATTGCAGAAATTTTTTCAAGCCAGCTTTGCTAAACTGAATTCCTGTTTTAGGAGTTGAGTCTTAAAGGTTTAGTTCGTTAGGGCTTGGTGTACTTTTCTTTATGTAGAATTTGAGGGTGTTGGGATGGATAGTCTCAGAGATGAACCTCAAGTACTAGAGAGGAGAAGAGAGTTAAGCTTACCACTCACTGAAAATGTAGAACTGTAGAAAGCAGATCACTTGCCTTGTAGAAACCTTGCAGCACAGACAGGGCTGACCCCTGAGTGTGTAAAGCTAGTGCCACACTCACCACTGTCACCAAGGTTCCAGGGATGGTTTTTATATTTCACGCCAATTCTTCAGTGGCTGAGGTGGAAGCCATTGTAGAACCACTATGAGGACTTCTTCCAATGGCCTACACCCTCCCCTGGAGATTCAACATTGTTATAGTTCTCCCTCTCCCATTAAGTTTGGCTTAAACATTAGAGTCCCATGGGACTAAAGAAGTCCCAATTATCTATTTAAAATGACATATTTCTCATTGTATAGTGAATATTTTGAGGAGAGAAAATGAGGGTGCTCAATTCAAGCAATGTCCTCCTTACTGGGTGATTCTTGCAGCAACTGGATGTTTTAAGGGGGACCACAAAGATAAGGCAGGGAAGGTTAAAAGAGGAGACTTGGGGACAGCAAGGGCCTATTTTAATGAGTATCTCAGGCTTTCTGCTTCCAGATGCCTTCAGAGCACAGCTGTGCCAGGCACTGTGCTGGGGCAGACAACAGTCAACAGACCTTGTCACAGCATCTCTAGTCTGTCAGTCCTCAGACTGTATCTCCCTCAAAGGGAGATCCTGAGTTGGGGCCTGAATGTCACTGCACAAGAGCCATGAATTAAGGGACGACACACGGAAAAGAATTCTCTTTTCATAGGAGCCAGTCTGAGGAGTTGATTCCTATAGAACCACCCCAGACCATGTCCCTTCTTAAACCATCACAGAAACATTTCCCCTTTTACAGGTAGCTTTGTAACGACTTTTCATTTTCCTCAAGGCTTACAAAAGTTTGGGGAATCCATGATGCTCAGTGAGGCAAACATTTGTTTCCATGCCCTGGTGTGTATCCGCCTCCTAAGGTGCCTGAAAGCATCCCTCCTCCCCTCTCCCAGGCTCCCTGAGCCCCTTCCTGCCTGGGGATTGCTGCCCAGGCCCCTCCATCTGGGGGGTGAAGAACAAACGGGTGGAGGGCCGGCTGTGTTTGCTGTAAGAGATTTCCCATTTGTCCTGGGTCTGTAATTATGGCGGAGCAGTGCTGTCACAGACAAGCTCTTTTGGGCTAGCTGCAAAGGAGCAAAAGACTTTCCGCCTTTTGTTATCTTAGTGATGCTTTGACAGGAGTCATTAAATCTTTTTCTTCCAGCAGAAGCAGAACACAAGTTGAAATTGATTAGGTTTAGTCCTTGTGTAAACTAAAAGGATTATGGGTTTACAAGCTGGCCTGCCTTTCCTTTCCCTCCTACTCATTTTGCCCATAAACAATTCGCTGTTTTCCTACTGACTCACTGGGAGTTACAATCAGGTTGATATTTTTGCTTTCTTTACATTTCCACAGAACACTTTCTGTGCATAAACCAAAATGGTGAGAAAGGGTATGTGCGAGTTTAAAAATAAACTGAAATTAAATCACTAGGATTTCCCTTCAAATAAATACGAGAGTTTGTTAATAACCAGGCATGGCTGTCCTTTAAAAAAAAAAAAACCTCCCTTCCACTCCTGTGTCCCAAACTGACCTGGCAAAGGTCAGGGGGGTTCCCCACCCATCCTCAGTGGACAAAAGTGGGCAGCCTGGGACAACAGGATCGAAGGCCAGCCTGTCCTCTGGTATAAACTCCTCCACTCAGCATCCTGCCCTTTCCCTTTTGTTCCGGAGCCCTGCCGCTCTGATACATTCCCGATGTGAGAGTTAAGCAAGAATGAAGTGCTGGCTTCTGGGCCTCACCTTGTTAAAGCGGTCAAGTCTGGCATGGACTGAACAGGCAGGCAGTCTGTTCAGGGACACAGTAACCCAGAGCCAGAACCCTAGTCTGCAGTTCTTTCTACCGGGCCACTTGCCTCCAGCTGCTTTTTTTCCTCAAGGTGGGAATTTTGAAGTGGCCATATGGGTTCCTAGGACACTGGAAATTGATTCCACCCAGCCAGTGTGGGGAAGCAGTAATTGGATGATCCAAGAAAAAACTGGCTTTTGGACCTAGCTTGTCTAGTACACCCAGTGAGAGTTACTGAGGCTGGCAGGAGGGTGACGTGGCTCACATCAGCTGGAAAGTATTAATATGCGGTGAAGAGAGCCAGGCAGCTTTGGTTGGGGTTCTGCCCTTGCCTCTTACTGCTGAATAAGTTGCTTCGTCTGTAGGCTCCCGTCACCTCATCTGTAAAGGGAGGTGAGGACACCTAGCTTGTTCAGGTTGCTGGGGTTGAGAACTAAACCAACATAGTGACTGGAAAAGGGCTTAGCCCATAAGCAGATTAAGAAACGCTCGCTGTGGCTGAGGTAAGGCCAGGGGAGAATCCCCGTGGAGCAGGCCAGCAGAAAACAGTGCCTGCTGGAACCTCCAGCGCTGGAGCCCTTGCTGGGTTAGGATGGAGCCTTGGGAACAGCTTTCCCAAAGAAGTTGTGCCTCTATTGTGGATTTGAGATGTTTCTGCTTCTCAACATTCTCTCTTTTTTCCTGCCTGCTTGCCTGCCTTTTGGATCTCTTGCTGTCTAGGGTGGCAGATGAAGCTTTCTACAAACAACCCTTCGCTGACGTGATTGGTTATGTGTATGTTGCAAAACTAATTCCTTTTCTTTTTTTGATTCTACTTCTCATTTAGAGTTAATGCACCTTTTATGCCACAAGTTGCTTTGCTTTTTAAATTACTTCAAACTGGCACTTTGGGGGCTAATAGGTGATAACCTGGGGGTATGATCCATTGATTGTCTTGCAGAATCATGACTTCCTACAACTATGATTGCCATTTTTCATATCCGGGGTTTTGGACGGAAGGAAACTGACTCCCTTTCAAAATGTGGGTCATTTGTGTTCTTGTCTGGGAAGGCTTTGGGACTGGAGGGCTCTGACCTCGTGCTGCCACCACTATGCCCCTGCCCTTGGTGGGAAGGAGAGGTGGACGTCCTGGTTAGGAACCAGTCGGGGCAGCTTTTCTACACTTGGTTTCTTTGAAGAATGTGGAGCTGGTTGCCTCTCCCTTGGGCAGAGGGGGTTGTCTCCGCTGGGGGCCTGTAATCGTTTCTCTATGGTCATATGTCAAATTGTTTAGTGCCCTGTTCCTTCACCCTTGCACAGAGAGGCCCCAGCTTTGAGATCAAGATAGCCAAAGCTGTCTGATAAGAGCCACTTTGGCTTTTCTCCCCAAAGAAAATTGCATCTTCTCTGGAAGTGTGTTTTTTTTTAGGGGTTCATGTTATCAAAGCAGTGTTGCTGAAGACTTGAAAACTGTTCTTGCTGTTTCCTCCTTAAATATTGGGACTGTATTTTGAGTGAAGAAACGTGGAAGTGAAATGGAGGAAGAGAGAACTCTGTGGGAAGGGTGGACAGCAGGCGGAGAGGCCCAGAGCCTTGAGATGTTCATCCTGGTAGAAAACAAAACTGGGTTCCCGGCCCCAGATGTATCTGCACTGAGACTTGTGAAATGCTGGACTTACAGGTGGTGTTGGATTTGTTTTGCACATTCTCTCTGGAGTAGAAATGGAAACTAGAAAGGTTGACTCTGGGTTTGCTGGGCAGCAGGGTGGCCCAGCAAAGCCAGCTGCACGTTCCCAATCAGAGTGGCAAGGGCATGTCTAGCTTACTGACCATCTGCATTGAGCTCATTCTCATTTCCTATATCTGACCTAAAGTTTCTCTCCTTCTCTTCACCTTTAAGCACAAACATAAGCCATCCTTGCTACAGCCTAGAACAGTTAAGTAAACCTTTCTCACTGCCCCTAACTGTGTGTGCTCTGCAGTCGCAGTCTTGTAGTGGCTCTGGCTTCAGCAGTGTGTGCCACGGCCATCCCTGTGAGTGCAACCCTTTGTCCCCACAGACCAGTCATCTCCATTGCTTTCGCTTTGCCCGTGATGCTTGTTGGAGTAGATGGATATAGTGTGTCTTCCCTCTTCTTAACCACTGTCCTTTTGGGCGACAGCTCCCACCAGCAGGCTCCCCAGTGGGGGTGGGCTGACCTCGACTGAAAGAAGGTTGGAGCAGCATCCTCCCAAAAAGCACCTAACATTGATTGGCTTTCCAGCTCCTGGGTGCCCACCCCTGCCATGTGTGCCCGAGGTGTGGCCCGAGGTAGCTGGCTGGAGGGAAAATGGCTGAACTGGAGAATGTCCTAACAAAACCCCTTCCAGAATGGCTCTAGTCTCTAATGCCTGCTAGCATGGGAGCTTGTTTTGAATTCCCTCTGATCGACCCTGTTTCTCTCCAGCCTTACGAATAAATCCAGAAGCTGTAGCACAAATCAGTTGTGGGCTTTTTAGAAGTCTAAATTTACTTGAAACTTAGCACAGCCCAACATAAACTTCTGTTCAAGTTCTTGACAAGCCTGCTGCTTTGCTTTTGTTAAAGAAGGCATTGTGTAGCTGGCTCAGGACTTGCTTTTTTAATGCTCTGCATCAGCAGAGAGAGAGAGAGAGCGCGCCCTGAAACCAAACACCTGTATTCCAACATTTTACACAGAGTCCAGGCACCCTGTGCCTCGGGGAGCTGGCCACATGTCTGCTCTTGACTCTGACCGGGGCCAAAGGCTGTGATTCTTTAGAAAACAAGAATGCTGTTAAAACAAGAATGCTGTTAAGTCAGGCATGAAGATGCTTCTAGAACAAGGCAGCCACCAGGTAGCTCACAGGGGGTTCTACGTTAAACCAACATATTTTGTTGTTGCTTCCAGGGCAGCAGAAGAAGCCTTTGTAAATGACATTGACGAGTCCTCCCCAGGCACTGAGTGGGAACGGGTGGCCCGGCTGTGTGACTTTAACCCTAAGTCCAGCAAGCAGGCCAAGGACGTCTCCCGCATGCGCTCTGTCCTCATCTCCCTCAAGCAGGCCCCCCTGGTGCACTGAAGAGCCACGCTGTGGAACACTACGTCTGCAATATCTTACTCCTCTCAGTGAGCTCTTCACCTAATTGGATTAATCATGTGGAGTTCTTTTGGACCAAACCTTTTGTCTTTAGAGTTACTCATTGTTTGTGATTGCATGTTTCTTCCTTCACCGGTGTTCTCCCGGCAGAGAGCAGGGAGAGGGAAGCCTCCCACGGTAGCCTCAGCCTGTGCTTTTTGTGCATTATTCTGGGAATAAATTTCTGTTTCAAACAATAAACGTGGAGCCTCATTATTGATCTCAAGGTGGCTGCAGTTTGGAGTGAAGTTCAAAGGAATGAGGAATTTACTTTAGTCATTTCTAGGGCTGAGGCAGCACAGTCAATGGGCCTTCAGCCCTGCTTTCAACTAACATAGCTCCAACTTTCTATTGTCTTTGGAGGTTTCCACTTGGAAAGGGAGTTCCAGGGCTAAAAGTTAACCCCTCCCCAATCTATGTATATTCTCCCGGATGGCTGTTTCAGTGGCGGTGTCTCTGGGGGTGTCTCTATAGTGAGACCTTTTACTCCTCTGGATCCAGCCAGTAAACCCGAGTCAGGATGGCGTTAGTGTGTGACTAGCCTCATTACTCTGGATCCCCCTAGCACTTTGCTCATATCCCTAGTGTCAAATATTTATCTAATTGCTGGCTAATACAGTAGATAATGTGACTAGAGTCAATTAAAAACACATTCTAGTCCTAGTATATTTCTTTGCTCAGGGGCACAAGTGCTTAGGTATTATCTGTATGGCACAGCACAGATAGTTCTAGACCACACTGATCAACACAACAGATGCCTCTAGGAGACTATGTTCTATTCAGGCATCAACACATTTGTTTTGTGCCTTCAGAATCTGTCACATTTTAGGTCAGGGGTGGGGAACGTCCAGCTTGCAGGCTGTATAAGGCCTGAGAAGTCATTTGGTCTGGCCCTGCCAAGGCATTAGGGGTGAGTTAATTAAATGTTTGATCAAATATAACAAGCTAATTTTTTAAATGTATATATTTTTTTATTTTAGAGCGAGAAGAAGGGCGAGGGAAGATCCCCACACTGGGGAGCAGGCTTGCAATCTGGGCATGTGCCCTGCATGGGGCAATGCTCAACCAACTGAGCCACACCAGCCAATAATTCTGTATGGCCTGTGGATGATGTTATAAATATCTAAATGACTCTTGGCAGAAAAAAGGTTCCCCACCCCTGTTTTAGGTGGTGATTCAAATAACAAAGCCATATTACAGAAATCTGCTTATTTACCTGATATTATTTCCAAGTTGGAGATTGACATGAACTCCTGTTAATACCACACTCAGTCTTGCCATTGCCAAGAAGGAAAGTCCACCAACACTTCTATTGTAATTATGTCTGAAGGGGAGAGGAACCGTCATTACTTTTCTGCTTACCTCTCCCTTTCCAAGCTTCTTAGTTGGGCATTCTTGATCTTGCCCACCTGGCCTCTTGACTCATTTCTTCCCATTGAATTGCAATCGAGCACTCACTGTTGTTCACCAACCATTTGTTATTTCTGGGCCTTGTTAATGCCATCCAACATGTAATAATCCAGGTTAAGAATTAGCTTAAAGGACACCTCTACAGTGCCTTCCCTTTTTCTTCCCCTGAGCTCCCATGGCCCTCTATGCCCACAGCTTACCTTTGGTGTTATTCTGATGGTGCAATCTAGACTGGTCTTGCCTTCCATACCAAATGGGCTTCTTAAGGTGGATGTGACAATTGTAAAATGTCAGTAAACTCTAACATTCTTCAGATCAAGAGGTGACTGGGTAATATGACAAAAGTAATGGCATGTGACTTCTAAGGCTACGTCATAATAGGCATGCAGCTTGCCAGCTGCTTTGTTGGAACACAAAGTCCTTGAGCATCACCCCGAGGCTGCCATGCTGTGAGGAAGCCCAAATCAACCTACAGGGAGAGGCCCTTAAACGACAAGCAGAGAGAGGTGCCTGGCCAGTGGCTAGTTTTCCAGCATCCTGCTATTCCAGCTCCAGGTACTAACTAAGTGCACCAGACCCCCTACATTAAAATTCCTGACCCTTAGAAGCCATGACAGCGTGATTATTGTTTAAGCCTCTTTAAGTTGACACAGCAATCAATAGTAATTTGAGATTGCTTATAAAGCCTATATTACCCACAGTGGGCTCCATAAAAAAGGAAGTTCCCATGGTCTCATCACGTGCTCAGCATTTAGTTTCAAACCACTTTCTTGGGGCCACTTTGCTTTTTATGTCAAATTTTAAATGTTATTCAACATAGTACTGAAAGTCATAAGCTAGAACGATTAGGCAAGAAAATGAAAAGGCATCATCCAAATTGGAAAGGAAAAACTAAAACTCACTATTTGTAAATGACATGATATATATAGAAAACCCTAAAGAGTCCACCAAAAAACTGTGACATCAAAATCAGAGGTCACAAAAACAAAACTAAACATGTGGGACTACATCAAATTGAAAAGCTTACAACAAAGGAAACCACCAACAAAATAAAAAGGCATCCTACTGAGTGGTAGAAAATATTTACCAATCATAGAAGATAGTGTTAATATCCAAAACTGAGTTTAAAAACTCATAGAACACCATAGCAAAAAAAACAAACAAGTAAAAAACAATGCCAATCTGATTAAAAAAACGGGAAGAGGATCTGAATAAATATTTTTCCAAAGAAAACATACAGATAGCCGACAGGTACATGAAAAGATGGGAAATACAAATTAAACCCATAATGAGATACCACCTTACACCTACCTATTAGAACGGCAATTATCAAAAAGATAAATACTGAGTGTTGGAGAGGATATAAAGCAAAGAACCCTTGTGCACTGTTGGTGCAGCCACTTGGAAAACAGTAGAGATTCCCCAAAACATTAAAAATAGAACAATCATAAAACAGCAATTCCACTTTTGAGTGTCCAAAGAAAACTAACTCAAAAAGATACATGCGGCCTGTGTCCATTGCATCATTTACTAGAGCCCGGATGCACAAAAATTCATGCAAGAGTAGCCTTCCTTCTCCCGGCTGCCGGGACCAGGGCTGGCTTCCCTCCCACCCTGGCTTCGTCAGGAAGGACATACAGAATGGTGGCCAGTCTTTTATTATTATAGATAGCCAAAGTATGGAAATAACCCAAGTGTGCATTGACAGATGAATGGATAAAGAAATTGTGCTGAATATACACTTGAGTGGCCAGATTATGATGATCTCTGAACGGGTAATAATCTGGCCACTCAGTGTATATCCTACATAATAAAGACTAATATGCAAATTGTCTCCTTAACCAGGAGTTCAACCAGTAGGCAGGCCGGCCAACACCCATGTCCCCTTTCCCTGGTCAGGCTAGCTGGACTCCACCCTTGCACAAATCCATGCACCAGGCCTCTAATACACACACACACACACACACACACACACTGAGTGGCCAGATTATTATGATCTCTGAACGCATAATCTGGCCACTCAGTATACACACACATAAATACATACTAGAGGCCCAGTGCACAAATTTGTGCATGGTTGGGGTCCCTTGGACTAGCCTGTGAAGATCAGGCCCCAGCTTGTGCCCCCAACCTTGCAGCCCCACCTGGCACTCTGCCTTGACCTGTTGTTGCCCATCACCTGCTCCCTCCACCATCCTGCCTGCAGTGCAATTTCTCAGGGCCGGGCCCCCCAGCCCAGCTCCCTCAGCACTGGGGAGCTAGCCCACAACCCCCACCACTGCCACTGGTCACCATCTGTGGAGTGATCAGCAGAGTGATCAGCCCCCGCTCGCACCTGTGTTGGCCAGGTGCTGCCCACTCACCTTCTCCACCATCCCATCGCAGTCCCACTCTCGTCAGGGCACCTCCACTGCCGCCCAATACCAGCACCGTGACACCTGCCATATTCTGCACCGCCCCCTGGTGATCAGCGCACGTCATAGCGAGTGGTTAAACTCCTGGTCAAATGACCGTCCAAGAGGACAATTTGCATATTAGGCTTTTATTATATAGGATAATGGATTCTTATTAGGCCATAAAAAATGAAATCTTGCCATTTGCAACAACATGAATGAACCTTAAAGGTATTATGCTAAGTGAAATAAATCAGACTGAGAAGAAAAATACTATCTGATCTCACATGTGGAATCTAAAAAATAACAACCAACCAACCTCATAGGTTTAGAGAACAGATTGGTGGTTGCCAGGGGTGGGAGTAGATTGATGATGGGTGAAATAGGTGAAGAGAGTCAAAAGTTACAAGTTTCCAGTTACAAAATAAATAATTTGTTGGGGATGTAATATTCAGTGTGGCAACTGTAGTTAGTAACTGTATCAGATATTTGAAAGTTTCTGAGTAGATCTTAAAAGTTCTCTTCCCACGGGGAGAAAAATGCTATAACTATATATGGTGACAGACTGATCATTTCACAATATATTTTTAAAATGTTACCTAATAATGCTTTCTATTATCAAAGTTATTTTTCTTTTGGTTAGGAAATCCATATTAGATGACTGAAAGAAGTTACATGACCTTCAGAAAGTAAGCGATACAAATATGTAAATCTCTTCTGGGAAGGGAAGTGCTTTTTAGGTAGTGAGCTAATTTAAGAACAAAACAATAAAAGTGCTAGGATTTTCACAATGACGTGTATTTATTTTTTCTTTAGAATTTGGCTCAGTAGCAAATATTTACATTAAAATAAATTAAGATATGATTATTAACCATATGTAATAATTATGTTGGAATATATTTATATTGAATTTAATAAATTTTAATAAATTTATTAAAAACCAGATTTGGTTTTAGATTCAGACACTGATGGCTGAGAAGACTACTTCCCTCCCAGGAATCATTGGGAATGTTTCAACATGTGTTTTTCTAGCTCATCTAAAAGTACCACATTTAATATTCTTATTAAATAAAACTTTTGATAGCTTGCAGTAAATTAGAATATATTCACATTTTGACACAGAAAACAGTGATATTTGTAGGGTATGAGCTGAAATGACCCCAGGAAAAGCAGCATCTACAAAAATGGAGGTTGGAAAGGTGGTTTTGGAAGAGGAGACTAAAAGCACAAACTTCTCTGCAAAGTCGCCTGCCAACTACCAAATTTAAACCTCAGATTTGCTTTTTAAGAAATGCAGTCTAAAAGACAACCTGAGCGTCTGTCGGAGCACTCCTGGAAGCCTAGTAGATCCTGCGCGTTGTGTAGTCCAGAACCATGCTGGCGGCACCGAGCAGGGCAGGGTCCACCAAATCCGAAACCACCACGTCCACATTCTGAACCGAGGACAAGGCTTGCTGGCGGATGACGTCCTTGACGGTGTGGATATAGTGACTGGCGAGGACTCCAGAGAGGATCACGAGGGAAGGATTCACAGTGTGGAGGATGTTCACAACCCCAAGGCCCAAAGCCGTTCCAGCTACAGAAAAATAAAACATAAGTTTCAGGAAGAGAACAAAGTTAAAAATGCCCCAGAGGAAGATGGAAAAGAGCCAGCAGCCAAGAACATCCACACTATGTAATAAAAAGTACCTGAAGCTGTAGTTTTTTGTTTTTTATTTTTACAGAAAAGTACAATCTTTTCTTTATATATTTATTTATTGATTTCAGAGAGGAAGGAAGAAGGAGAGAGATAGAAACATCAATGAAGAGAGAGAATCGTTGATTGGCTGCCTCCTGCATGCCCCCCACTGAGGATCCAGCTCGCAACCCAGGCATGTGCCCTTGGCCAGAATCGAACCTGGGACCCTTCAGTCCGCAGACTGACGCTCTAACCACTGAGCCAAGCCAGCTAGGGCTGAAGCCGTACTTTTATAAAGCTATTCATGACTACTATTTCTTCTTCTTTTTTTTTTAATTTCAGGGAGAGGAAGGGAGAGGTAGAGGGATAGAAACATCAGTGATGAGAGAGATTCATTGGTCAGCTGTCTCCTGCAGCCCCGCAACCCTCCCCATCCCCCCATACATACCCCAGGCATGTGCCCTGAATAGGAGTTGAACTGAGACCTCCTGGTTCATGGGTTGATATTCAACCACTGAGCCATACTGGCCAAGCTCATGATTTATTCTAATTATGAGAAAATAATCATGGGATACTTTGGAAAAAAGCTGGGTATAAATGGTATACGTACTGTACTTTATGGTCTCAACTATTAAAAAAAATAGAAATACTGGTAGGAAATATTAATAGTTGATATCTCTGAAACAGTGAAACTGAAAGTGACACTTTTCCTTACTCATATTTCTCTAAATGTCCTATAACATGAACAAGTTGTTTCTTCATAGTTGTAAAACTAAACTAAGAAACAAAAAAAACCCACTTAAAAAGACAATGCTGCCAAATACCTTGAAGCAAGTCCCTTCCTCTCTCAGTAAACAGGAAAAACACCTCTGAATGAACTCTCCCAGCCCAGGCCTGAGGGAAGTTGAGCCTCTGGGTGGCCCAGGTGGTGTCAGGGCCCGTCCCCTTTGGCAGAGCTGCCAGGAGCTGACACTCACCTGTCCTCAAGATGCTCTGGGCTTTCACGTTGCCAAGTTTCGCAGCTTGGATAAGATGAAGCGCACTCACAGCTTCGTCTTTTGGCACTGACATCCCTTCCACCAAGAGCAGGTCTTCTGTTTGGGCAGAGGTGAGGAGGACAGACAGTCAATAATGAGCTGTGGCAGCCCAATGGGAGGCCAAGACTACATTGGTTCCACTGGGCAGCGAGCCCCCAAGTGAGAAGACAATATTTTCACATTTGCAAAGCTCATCATTCATAAACATCCATATGCATTCCCCAGAGGCCTCTGCTGCTCTCTCATGGCCCGCTTATACACTGCCTGAAACGTCCCTCACTGTAAAATCCTCAGTTCGGACCAGAACACCCCCCACCCTCCACCCCTGCTCTAGCATTCCCACTTCTCACTTCCATATGAAGCAAATTCATCAGACTCCCTGCACTCCTCTCCCTCCTTATCCAGCCCAGATGCAATGTGGCATAACAGGCCAGTGCCCGCTTTCCAAGGCAGGAAGGCACAGCACCTGAGAAATAGCACACACCTGGTTCAGCTGCCAGCTCTGTCATTACGAACTGCACAACCCTGTCCACTTCATGTTACCTCCATATGTTTCTCTTCTCTGTGAGACCGGGTAATATAATAATACCTATCCTAGCAGGATTATGGTAGGGATTAAATTACATAATGGACCATAAAGTATTTTTAGTTAAATGGGGGCCAGACTCAAAGCTAAATCAACAGTAGGTGTTTCTGTTATCTATAGTTCTTGTTTTTCTGCTCCTCACTCTGCCAGTCACCAACTCAGATCACCCTGCCTCCTTCTCTATTATCCACGGGCTCTGATGAGAGAAGAGCTAAACCACGCTGACGGCTTACTAAAGATCACCTGGGGGCTCACAGCTGCCTCTTCGAAGGCTTCACCTCCCCAGGCCTTTCCCGGCTCACCCCTTACTCTCACCAAGACATTCCCATACTTCTGACCTCTTGGATAAATAAAGGACAGGCAGGAATTCCTTTACTTTTCAGCTCCCAACTACAAGCAGGCAGTACATGCACACCTTCATTCCTTCGTTCCCTCTCTTCGGCTCCTCTGCCCGGCTTTGCACTCATCTCTCCCCCCACCTCTTCAAGGGCCTTCCTCTAGGGACCATCCTTTCTCCCCTGCACTCCCAACTGCCGCACCCATTCCCTGTCTCGTGCTGACAGATCCCACTTCTTCCCTCTTCCTCAGTAGTTAGGCTTCTGCTTCCACTATGTGACTGAACTTCAAGACGGGCATTTGCCCCTGGGGGAAGACGGGGCAGAAATTGATTCTTGGGAGCAAAGAATCTTTTTATAAAGAGAGTACATAAATAAAGAACATATCTGTGGTATTACAGTGTCATGGGGTGAGGTGATTAGGAAAAACATCTAAGCAGGTTCCCTGTCAGGGTGATAAAAACAAGGTTGAAAAAAATATCTCGGGGCTTCAAGCGATGTCATCATGACCAAAACCAAAGAACATTTCTGATTTCCTCTTACTCGTGAGCAGCATTTGACACTACAGACTACAACTTCTCTGAAACACTTCCCCTTTTGGCTTTATGACTTGACCCATTCCTGGGTTTCCTCCTACTTGCAATGCTGTTTAGCAGGATTCCATTCTTGATTCTTGCAATCATTCAGTTCCCTTTCAGAGGTTTAATTATCACCTCCATGCTGATCCCTACCTCTAGTCTAGTCCTCTCTCTTGAGCATCAGGCCCCTGTAGCCGGCTGCCTCCTATGCATTTCCACCTGCATATGGATGTCCCACTGGTACCCAACCATTGCCTTCCTTCAAAACCTGTTCCTTGTCTTATATCCACAACCACAGCTTGTCCAACCAGAAAACTGAAGTCACTCTGTAGAACTGCCCCATTTAAAGCTATCCTCTATTCAACTACCATTTCCTCCCAGGAAACAAAAATTTACAACTCAGTGAAGAATCTAAAATTCAGATCTGACTGTATCTTTCCCTAAAAATTTTCAGTGGCTTCTCCATTAGCTGCTAGTTCTGGCTTACCTCTTACTACATAATACTCTGCCTTTATGCACCAACACCAGTTTTCCAAGCTTGGAAATGTTCCCATGCCCATTCAAACTTGCCTCCTAGTGCTTTTTACCCTCCAATTCTCGACCTCTCAGGACAGTACCCTAACACTCCCTTCACTGTATGGAGAAGGTGGGAGGGAACACTGGTGTCTTTATATGCATCTATATTTCTTGGCCACCATTCTCTCTGCACCTGAGATACCATATTAAATCCCTCTTGCATTAGAATGGAAACCATTTTTTAAAATAACATCCAGAAACAGTATTAGTTCAAATAGACCTTTTATAATTCAAAAACTAAAATATGTTCCTCCACTTAATTCTTCATTAAAATGTGTATTGATATGTATTAACCCCTGTGCTAGGGGCTGAGAAAACAAAAATGAAAGACACCCCTAGCTGGTTTGACTCAGTGGGTAGAGCGTTGGCCTGAGGACTGAAGAGTCCCGGGTTCGATTCTGGTCAAGGGAACATGCCAGTGTTATGGACTCAATCCCCAGTAGGGGGTATGCAGGAGGCAGCCAATCAATGATTCTCTCTCATCACTGATGTTTCTATTTCTTCCTCTCCCTCTCTGAAATCAATAAAAATACACACGTGCGCGCGCACACACACACACACACACACACACACATATTAATGAAAGACATCTCCCCACTCCCCTGGAGCTCAGGACCTGTCCACCTCCACCCCGCAGCGGAAGAGTGTTGACATGGGTCAGGACTAAGGAGGCTGTGGAGCTTCAGTATGAGAGAGCCCCACTTGTCTTCTAGGAAGGGAAAACGGTAAGAGCTCTGCTGTCAGTGTTCAGCCTCTGTGGAATGCCTACTCTGAAGTATTTTTCTACCATTTTTAATCCCTCAGAAGAAAGAAACCAACCATCATGTAGCTTTTTTGCTTCCTTCTGTAAGGCCATTCCAGAGGCATAAGCTTCAATGCACCCATGGCTTCCACAGGAACAGTCAGGCCCATCTAGAGACACAACCAGGTGGCCAAGTTCTGCAGCACAGAAGGAACTTCCATGGATCAGTTCATGCTGATGGATGATTCCCCCGCCAATTCCTACAGAGAGACAGCAATCGTTGAGGTGGCTCTTCATTTGAGACAGAATACTGATGCGGCAATGCCTCATCTGTTAAGGTAAGCCTTGGAATGTGAGGTTCTATACAGTGCTTACTTTTCTAGAAGCTGAAACTTACTAAGTACCAAAACTTTATTTGGAGTAATTTTAGCAGATCCTCTGATACCCTGTGTTGCATCTACTTGACACACCATGATTTCAACCATAGCTGTAGTGGACATTTCTGTGCAAGCTCAGCCTCTTGTGATGACAGACCACTTCAAGTACACACTGTCCACTGTTCTCCCCAAGGCTTCTCCAACACTGAAGAGCTCAGTCAACCATGTAGGCATAGTGCCCACAGGCAACCCTCAACCAAGGCAAGACAGGAGCCAGCAGATCCAAGTGGACAATTCTGTGCGGTATTCTGCAGGCTTTCGGGGAGGTTCCAGAAGATTTCAGCCCCCACTGTCCTCAAGACAACTTTGACCATGTCTCCTCTAATGACTCTCCTCCAACTTTCTTCCCACTCCCTCACTCCTGCTTCTCGGGATCATGGCCAAAATAAAAACCACGCCTAATCCTAGTCTCAGACCCTACTTTGGAGACAATCTTTCTAAGGTATCAAATAACTCCTGCTTTCTTAAACATATGAATATGATTTTGCCTCTTCTTAATACCGTGTCTAAAATATTTTGATTCAGGAAGTATGACTATCCATGACTCTGTTATGGCGTTTAGGAGTTACTGAGGAGTAAAGCCATTCTGCCTTACAGGCTCTGCGTTTTAGTTTCCCGCCATCTATTACTTCTGGTGGCACCTATTCTTCAACTCCCACCCATCTCATTTGCAGCTTATTAACTGCTCTGTCCTAGGAAATGATAGCCAGACTTGTGAAACTGTGTTCAAGACTAAGAGAAGAAGTTTAACAGCTTAAAGGGGAGGCAGTAAAAGGTAAGTTTAAGAGCACACAGTGTTGAAGTTGAGCATATCTAGGACCAAATGCTGGCTAGACCATGTTAATACTGAGGCTTCCTCATTTAAAAAACAAACTGGGACTCAGCAAAAGTGGCAGAGTAGGCAACTCCAAAGTGCATCCCTCCACTAACGCAATGACTAAACTGGCAACTTTTTTGGAACTCTGGAGACTAAAGAAAAGTTTGCAACAACCAGGGGAATGCTTTATCTGAATATTAGTAAGAGCTTCCTGGCATTTCCTGGTCCCATTAATCCCTCAGCCTCCACACCCCTCCCTCCCCCCTCACACACACACACACATACACACACACACACACACACACACACACACACACACACACACACACGTTGGCAGTGGCCCTGAATAGCAGCCCACGTTCCCAGTACAGACGGCAGTACTGGAGGGAGCTGAACAAACGTCGTTTTTAAAGAATTGTGGCGGTTCGTTCTGGCCAGCTCAAAGGGCTTGCCTCTACCTCACCTACCTCAGAGCTCTCCCAGGGCCCAGCGGGCGGTGCAAGGGGCATTTAAAGGGTCTTTGCTGCTCAGGGAACTGGGTGACGGGTCAAACAATATACTGACCAAACACACTAGGAGGAAAAGCTGGGGAATGGGAAGCTTTGGGGAGTAAGGGGTTTGAATAGCTCTGACAAGCTCCTGAGATTTTAGAAGGCCACACACATGCTCAGAAATGACCTGAGCAGACCCTCAGCTCTCCCGTGTGGCTCACTTTCAGGTCCTACTCAAGTTGCAAACTGCCCAAGTGTTAAAGGTGTGCCCAGCACACACTCCAGCTCCTGAAGCAACCGTCCCCTACTCTTACCTGTGCCTGTAATAAATGTCACAAAGTTTTCCAGGCCCTTTCCTTGGCCAAATTTCCTTTCTGCCATGGCGGCACAGTTGCCATCATTGTCTACCCACACGGGGAGATGCAAAGTATCAGACAGGGGAGTCCTTAGGTCCACAGAGTTCCATTCTTGGATCAGTTTGGTTGAATGCAGCACAACTCCTTCCCGAGGATTAACGCGGCCTCCTGTGGAAATGCCTGAGCTCCACCACAAACACAAACAGAGGCAAAATAACTAATTAGCAATCTTAGAAAAGTGCTGACTTCCGGGGCTTAAAACACAAATTAATTCACTCAACATATCCTAAGACAAACATTACCAAGGATTGCAAAGAAATGACAAACAGTCCTGAGCTAAATATGTAGTTCCCAGATATACAGCACTAACAATGCTTTTCCCATAACGCTGGCTGGTGGCCACAGACCAGGCCTGGAGCCGTCTGTAGACAGGGACTTGCTGTTCGGTCATGCAGCAGGACTCAGTAAGTTTTGTACATTAAAATGAACATTTCGGACACATAATTCACAATCTTACCTACGCCCAAAATTCTGCAGTTAAGTTTTACAGCTTCTGCTGCAGCTTCTACACACATCTGTAAGATTAAATTAATCCTCTCTTCATAGGTTTTAGGATTGAACTGAGTATACTTCTTAACTATTTCACCCTAAAAGAGAAAAAAACAACACCTTCATTCACTGAGCATACACAGTGAATCTTTTGTTCTTTTCACGATGTATCAGACTCCGCCATGGGACAGTTCTACAGATTCCGATGACTGCTCTAGAAGGGAGTCAGTCTGGCTTGGGCCAGCCCTTGGATATGCCAAAGTTGTTCCGTGGGAAGTCAGTCTGGGATATGACTGTTGGAGTAATGACAATTCCAGAGCCAGCCAGATGACACCCTCTTCCTCACCCCCATCTCTTTCTATTTTTATTTTTTATTTTTTAAAAATATATTTTATTGATTTTGTACAGAGAGGAAGGGAGAGAGATAGAGAGTTAGAAACATCGATGAGAGAGAGTCATGGATCAGCTGCCTCTTGCACACCCCCTACTGGGGATATGCCTGCAACCAAGGTACATGCCCTTGACCGGAATCGAACCTGGGACCCTTCAGTCCCCAAGCCGACGCTCTATCCATTGAGCCAAACCGGTTTCGGTCCATCTCTCTCTTTTTAAAAAAATTTTTTTAAAATTAATTTCAGAGAGGAATTCAACGCTTGATTCACTTAGCCAAATATTTTTGTTTTATCCTGTCCACATTCTCCATTTTTGCAGTTTGTTCCATATTTTATTCCCTTCATAATTCCCAGAATTATGTTCAGTAATGTTATAGAAAACATCCTTCTTTTCCTCTTAATTGCAGTAATAATGCCTCTAGAATTTCACCATGACAAAGGGTATTGGCCACTGATGTAGAATATATTACAGTCATGTTAAGAAAATATTCTCTTATTAGAATTTTGTAATAAAAGATGCCTTTGGCTTCTTTTGAGAAAATTATATTTTGTTTTTCTCTACTGACCTAAACAACTTTATGTTTAAAATCTTTGCTATTTCCAAAGGGGGGGGAAAAAAAAATCTTTGCCATTTCTAATAAACTCTTGAAACTTTATGTAACAACAATATTTCAAACAAATATTTTTCTGGTATGTTTATTCTTCCTTGTTAAATCATCAGAGCTCATTTTGACACAGACAATTTAGTGTTTTTATGAAGGCTCGCTCAACCTCTGTCAACACTGTGGTGACGGTTTGGTTAAGGGAGTGAGGTACGCTGTACTCAACCAAAATGGTATTCTAGACATCATTCCCGTCGCATCTGCAGACACCCTCCTTAGGTAAGCAGTCAGCATGCTCCATAGTCTAAGCTGTTCACCACATACAGAATTTCAGTCTCCTGGGCGGCAAAAGCCCTGTCTGGGGCTGAAATGGTCTCCCATTGTCAACCTAAGCCTCCTAAGTTGGCTTCCCCAAGAATTTTACTTCTTTGAATGTTAATGATTAGTAAAATAATGACAAATACTGAAATGGATCAAAAAGTCAATACTGTGGGCAAATGATTACAAGCTTTCATGTATGCTACTAGTCTTACCTTCCAACCATGCTTTTTAAAAAATCAATTACTCATATGAGATATAAATTTAAGACCTTAGGAGTTCTTTTACCTTCATGCTGACTATTGCAACTCGGAGGTTTGTCCCGCCGAGATCAACAGCCAAGGCACTCAGAGTTTCAAGAATATGGTCAATGTCTTGAGAGATATTGTCCTTCACAGGAGGAAAGCAGAATTTCTTTTGTAGTGGCTCTTGCAGATCGATAGATTTGAGAAACTTCAAAATCCTTGGAACAGCATTTCCATCCCCATATATCTTTGAGCTGCAATATCCAAAAAGTCCAATTAAATGCTTCTCTCATACATGCTAAATTATATTGAAGACATATTAATGGAATCTCAGACTTGAGGTAACAAAATTTGTCTTTTTTCCTTTAAAAATAACAACATATGGATCTCTTTAGCAACACAGTAAGTAAGCACATGTCACCAATGCAATGTTGAATTCTATTGTTGATTGAAATACAACTATTTTCAGCCTGAGGTACCATTAAAAAATACCTATTTTATCAAAGAAAAATTAGTTTTGTTAAGCCTATATCAGAATATAACAGTTTGTGACAATGAATTTTTTAGTTTTTAGTTTTTGTCTTTACCTTCGTGGGGAAAAGTTATTTTCAGGAAAAAAACATTCAAATACATGAGACAACTCATTAATTTAAAATAGAAAGGAGGGCAGTCTAAATTAAAATGCTAAAACAGACCTTTTTTTTTTTACTTGTACCTTCAGGGTGAGCTAGATTTTTTATTTTTTTTATTTTTTTTTTTACTTTTAAAAAAAATATTTTTATTGATTTCAGAGAGGAAGGGAGAGGGAAAGAGAAATAAAAACATCAATGATGAGAGAAAATCATTGATTGGCTGCCTTCTGCACACCCCCTACTGGGGACTGAGCCCACAATCCAGGCATGTGCCCTTGGCCAGAACTGAACCTGGGACCCTTCAGTCCACAGACTGATGCTCTATCCACTGAGCCAAACCAGCTAGGCAGAACTAAATTATTTTTACTTTAAATATGTTTTTATTGATTTTTAGGAAGAGAAGAAGGGAAATAGATAGTAACATCTACGAGAGAGAAACATCTTTGATTGGCCTTACTGCATGCCCCTACTAGGGATCAAAACCCAGCATGTGTCCTGACCTGGAATAGAATTGAATTGAACCAAGGATCTCTCTCTCTTTTTCTTTTTTTTTTTCTTTTTTTTTTTTTTTAATATATTTTATTGATTTTTTACAGAGAGGAAGGGAGAGAGATAGAGAGCTAGAAACGTCGATGAGAGAGAAACATCGACCAGCTGCCTCTTGCACACCCCCTACCGGGGATGTGCCCGAAACCAATGTACATGCCCCTGACCGGAATCGAACCTGGGACCTTTCAGTCCCCAGGCCAACGCTCTATCCACTGAGCCTAACCGGTTTCGGCCCAAGGATCTCTTGATTGATACTCAACTGCTGAGCCACACTGGACAGGCTAAACTAGACTATTTTAGAAGAAAATCAGTTATATTGCTATATAATCCTTATGGAAATTCAAAGTAAGCTAAAGAAGCATTTCCTAGCTATGTTAACTGAGACAAATAAAAAAATTATTCTCCATCAGAATCCTTGGTACAGTAATAGGGGTATATATTACCAAGCTCTGTCTCATCACCAGCTAGGGATCCTAGGGATGGAGAATGAGAGCTCTGTTTGGATGATTAAACAGTGTCCACAGCTTAGAAATGGTGCCGAAGGCATCTTCTCTTTTAATATATATTTAAAAAAATCTGTGAGGCATCTCCTCTTTTATTTTTTTATTTATTTTTTTAAAGTATATTTTATTGATTTTGTACAGAGAGGAAGGAAGAGAGATAGAGAGTTAGAAACACCGATGAGAGAGAGTCATCGATCAGCTGCCTCTTGCACACCCCCTACTGGGGATATGCCCGCAACCAAGGTACATGCCCTTGACTGGAATCGAACCCGGGACCTTTTAGTCTCCAAGCCGACGCTCTATCCATTGAGCCAAACCGGTCCTGGCGTGGCATCTCCTCTTTTAAATCACTTTTAGAAAAGAGGGTATGTACTCACCAAGGGTACTGTTTACCAAACTGAAGGTGCAGTGCTTGCAATATTTTGTCTTGGGTATCAGCATCCCGGACATGAAGAACATTCTCCCCTAGGAAAGTCCAGTGACACAGTACAATGATTCAGAAGCAGGAATAGCCAAAGAATAAAAAAATTAGCAGTATGTTATCATAATTATCCCTGAAACCCAAAGGTCTCAAATAAGTCTTCTTCCTTTAGAAAAACATCAACTTTTCTACTGTTTATCTTTTAAAGCTCTCTCAGCAAAAGTATACATATATCAAATACTAGCGTCCTTCATTCCCAAATAAAATAAATCAAATTTTTGTATGTTTCTTGAAATAAATAAGACAGATTGACCTAGAATCTACAAGTCATTTATCTAGTCATCTAGCATGTCCACTCTTTCAGTCTGCCCTCCCTATCTACTTAGCCAGTTGTTCAATCAGCTAGTCAGTTAGCCATTAGCTGTTCCTGCAGTCTCCTTCTCTCCATGTAGTTTCTGACCAGCATGAAGGAGTAAATATAATGAAAATGTCATGTTTTTCAATAAACTTGGGTAAGAAGAGAAGAGCAGAAGATAGTGGCTGGAGAGAGGTATGGGGCCAAGGAGGTGGTATTTTATTGTTTTGTTTTAAAATATTTGAGGCTTAGGCATGTTTAGATGATGAGGAAGCTAACGATACATGAAAGAGAAAAGGGTAACTGGACATTAAGCTTATTCCTATCTTAGGGTCTTCATAGTAGGGTTTTCCTTGTCTCCTCCCTGATCCTCACATAGCTAATTCTTTGTCATTTCCTAAACAAGGATTTCCCTTACCTGATCTAATGTAGCCCACACATTACCTTTTGTTATAGTCTGGACAGCACACCGCTGAATTTATTTATTTTTTGGTCTATCATCTCTCCTCCCACTAGAATGGAAGTTACATGAGAGCTCAACCCAATTTAGACTAGTTTATTACTGAATCCTAATGCCCAACACATAGTAGGTGCTTATTAAATGTTTTCTTAATGAATGAATTAATGAAGTTGAAAGAATTTTCATCTTGTGGCTTCAATTTTCTCTGTGTAGTAGGGAGCAAAATAATACTTTGGGAATGAAAAGAAATAAGGTCAAAAGATAATTCAGAATAATGCTTTAAACAATAAAGAATTTAAATTAAAATTTAAAAAATTAAAAAAAAACTACTACTAAGTATAGGTCAAGGTGCTTTACAAATAAATATACCAAAAAAGGCCAAAATATAAAAATAAAAGATGAAGATAATGCAGTTAGGGTGGCAATTACAAAGAATGGGAAAAAGAGCTGGAACTAATGTCCTTGATTCTAGTCCAAGTCTTTTTCTATGAACTACATATATTTTTTCCATTAGCTATAGAAATATATTTGCATATAGACAATATTAGAACTCAGACTAATGTTAACCAGTTAACTGCCACGATATTTTGAATTTAATTTAAAAAGGTCTGCGGCTTGCATCTATAGATGCTTATGGCGTACAAATGATTAATGATAGGATAAGCCCAATTAGCAAATTCATTAATAATCCTACTTATACTTTAGTTATTAAGGAGGCATCTTATTTACAATTGCCATTTAGTCTGAAGTACTGACTAAAGGGACTCTACTAGCCCCAGAAGATGAAAGACTAGCATTCATATACTGATATCACATTCTCTCTTCTACACAGCCATCAAAGACCACAATTAACTAGGAAACTCTTAGCTCTAACTGATATTACAAAGACAATAAAGTCAAGCCAGTGTGGCCAGTGGTTGAGTGTTGACCTATGAACCAAGAGATCATGGTTCGGTTCCCAGTCAGGGCACATGCTCAGGTTACAGGCTCCATCCCCCAGTGTGGGGCGTGCAGGAGGCAACTGATCAATGATATTCTCTCATCATTGATGTTTAAATTTCTATTAGAGGCCCAGTGCACAAATTCGTGCATGGCCAGCGATTGAGGCCTATTGGGGGCCAGTTGATGGGGGAGTGTGGGGAGGCCAGAGGAGGTTGGCCAGTTGGGGGAGGAGCTGCAGGAGGTTGGCTGTGGGAGCACACTGACCACCAGGAGGCAGCTCTTGCATTGAGCATCTGCCCCCTGGTGGTCAGTGCATGTCATAGCGATTGGTCATTCAGGTCGTTTGGTCTTAACAGTCACTTAGGCATATATATATATATATATATATATATATATATATATATGTATGTGTGTGTGTGTGTGTGTGTATATATATGTATGTGTATGTGTATGTATATGTATATGTATATGTATATATCTCTCACCCTTCCTCTCAATAAAAATTTATTAAAAATACATATATATATTAAAAAGACAAAGACAATAAAAATGTTAAGTAGAGCCTTAAAAAGTTTGGTAATCTCCGTGTGCTTTATGTAAATTTTAAGCTACAGTTGGTCATTAACTTCATTCACTTGATAAAAATGTATGTCATCACACGTTTTATAATAACTCATACATATCTATTAAGCCTAGTCAGCTGAAATAAAAGCAAAGGTAGATACCTGTTTCTCTTCCAATCTGCCGTGTTCCTAGATTGATCACTGGTGTTCCAAAAGCTCCAACCTCTCGTACCCCACAACTGCTGTTCCCAATCACACAACCAGCGTGGGCAACCAGCTGTATAAACTGTTCAAACGGCACATGTTTAACTGCCCGAAAATTAGGATGATGCTCGATGCCCTTCTTCCGCATCACTCGAACCATCTCTTTGCTCCCTGTGAAAATGAAAAGAACCAACTGTTACATGGTTTATGGAATAAACAATTTTCATTGTCAAGTAAAACCTCACTTAAAGAAATCTTCCCATAAATACTCATAACAGTTATTCAGGAAATAGTCATTTTAATTGTAATCGTTGATCTTTTCATGAGTGATGACTAGTTGTCTGGTTAGCTTTCTACTTCAACTCATCTAGAAACTTTAAACAGTTGGGTCGTTTCAAACAGCACTCAGCGAAGCAAATGCCTTTTATAAATGTCCCAGTAAAAGTCTTTACCTTAAACAATAATTAAAAGGCTCAAGACAGGCCACCAGTCTCTATCTCTGAAGCTAGCTCCACCCATCTAGCTGACAATAGCTTAATGGGATAGCACTCCCACTTATGTGGACTAAGCTCCAACAAAATACAGATAGATTCTGATACTGGGCTGATATCTTATTTTAAATGTGTGATTAAAAAAAATGTTAGATATATGAGGGAGAGGCCTCTCTGCTTCCCTCTCTAGTCATCCTTTCCTAGCTATCAAGGGAGGCAAAGTTGCTAATTTGGTTGGTTAGAAGGCAGGACAGCAACCACACTGCATTCCCCCACTGATTTAACAAAAGCTGGGAATATAATGTTCTCTCTCATTTTAACTTTCTCTGTGTGGTGAGATAATAGAGTGAGGGTCTACTTTTTAACACAGGCCTAGCTACGTCTATAGTCATTGTAGAACGCCAGAAGGTGCTATTATTCCAAGATTCAAATGTGGTGTGGCTTGTTTTTGGCCTGGATTACAGGTACTAATCTTGTTTTCCAGAGGGTTCTATATTAGGGAACTGGGCACTAAACAGATAATGAGAAAGTGATGCCTTGATTCTTATTTCCCTATTGTTCCTTGTGTAGTATATTTTATCAAAAACTCTGTGAGAAGGAAAGGGGGTGGTAAGCATGATTTAGGCATTCCTGGGATCCTTTACTTTCAGAGGGGAAAAATATTTCTAATTTAAGGTATACAATCAGGAAAGTATACTACAAACAAACACAATTGGCAATAAGTATTAAACAAGAGAGATCTATAATTACAGATATTTATACAAAAGTCTAAAGGATTATAATAGAAGAAATATTGAGGTTTTTGAAATATTGTTAAATTACCTGGACAAAATCGGGGTTGTGGGTTAACTTCCCCTCCCCCCAATTAGCATTAAGACAAGGATTCTTTCAGAGAAAGATGACGACAGCTTGACATTGCAGAAAACGGTCCTGCCTCCTTTTCCACAAAGTGCCTCAGAGCTCAGCAATGAGTGGTGTCAACTAATAATGAATATTTGAAAATTCCTTAGTGTCAGGCCCTGCTCTAGCACTTCTCATTCATATCTCATATCCCCATTAACATGGTTAAGGTCTCAACAGCACCAAAGCCTACAGTACCATCCACTGGTAGGTGATCCATCAGGTCAGGCTTGAGAGTCAACTGGGGACTCTAGCTCTAAACTGTTGAAGCTCAAGATTACTTTAAGATACAGTTAATATAAAGAAGAGAAGAAATAATAATATGGCTATTTTACTGTGGTCAGTGGAATCATTACTTTAATAAAGACACTCAATTTCTAAGGTTTGTCTCTTTGCTATTGCATGAAACAAACCTTAGAAGTTTTTTCACTGGTGTAAACTGGAGGGAAGATATTTAATATAAAACTAGAATAAAGATTAGAGAGATTTATTATTATTCAGTTTCTATTAGACTTTACAAAAGCATCACAATCTCTTCAATCTACTATAAAATTGGTGATCCTTTGAAAACTGGTACACATTTCAGAATACAGCAGCCTTCAATATAAAATGGGCAAGATAGGAAGGGCAGTCAAAAGAAGGCATAACAGAAACATACAACTGGAAAGCTAGGTGGCATACTTTCATTTTTAAGTCCAATTACCTGCATCAATATTTGGAAACAGAACTAGGGTCCGCTTGTTAAATGAGATGAGTGCATCCAATGTTAATTCAAACATCTTAATGGAATGCTTAATGTCAGTGGTCACTGGGTGTTGAAGAGCAACAATGTAATCTTTAGGTTTTACATCATCACCTGCAAAACCAAACCACATTGCTTCATTAGTTAACAATCTCAAAGGAGGAAGAAGAAAATTCCAAAAGGCAGATCCCAGTCTGTGCTTTTACAAATGAGAAGGAAAAAAGTTTGTTACATTTTAACCCAGTCATCCAAATTGGGTTCATATGATAAAAACTTATAGCAAAAAGTCCAAGGATTTGACAAACTTAACATTTTATAAAGGTACTTGCTACCACAAACAAAATATATGACTTTAGATAGAAGATACTAACTAGAATTCATTGTTTCAAGTCTAAATATTTCAAAGCATTAGAAAACTGTGAATTTTCCCAATTTCAAACTAGTGTTTTTAATGAATTATCAGCAATATCAATGAATAACAATATGTTGCAAATCAGGACATTCAGAGTTTGGATGAGCATTAAATATATTTCATATAATACATAGGAGCTTCCTTATACCATTACCATTCAACAAATGGCAAATATTTCTAACTCTGTTCAAAGGACTAGAATGGCATTACTTATCCTAAGGCTGGGATCATAAAGGACAGATGGATAGTGCTATACCAAAGAACACAGAACATTTATCAATAGGGCTTATTAGGTCTAGTAATAATTAATGTCGTTTTCTAATACCTTTTTTTAAATCGAATTTATTTAAACAATACAACAAAATTTAATCAACAATATAGTTGCCGTTGTTTTCTACTACTTGTGCCCAACGCTCAGGAAGCATTTTAATCCCTCTGTTGTAAAATTCTTGTGATTTTGATGCAAAAAATTCGGTCAATGCATTTTTGAGGCATTCTTCATTATTAAATTTTTTTCCAAGAAGAAAGTTTTGCAAAGAACGAAACAAATGGTAATCGGAAGGGGCAATATCAGGAGAATATGCAGGTTGAGGGAGAACTTCCCATTCCAACTGGCGCAGTTTTTCAGCAGTGATTCTTGCAGTATGCGGTTGTGCGTTATCGCGGTGAAGAATTACGCCCTTCCGATTAATCAGCGCGGGTTCTTTTTCTCTTAAAGCTTGGGCTAACCTTTCCAATTGGGCCCTATACACTGCACTTGTAATGGTTTGGTTAGATGGTAAAAGTTCATAATGAAGAATTCCTTTAAAATTCCACCAAACACACAACATCACTTTTTTCGCATGCAAGTCAGGTTTTGGCGTGGGCTGCGGAGCCTCATTTTTGTCCAACCATTGAGGCCGCCTTTTCAAATTAACAGACAGCACCCATTTTTCATGTCCGGTAACAATTTGCTCTAAAAACAGCAAACGGTTTTGACGAGAGAGGAGCGAACTGCAAATTGTGACTCTTTGATTACGGTTGTTGTCGGTTAACTCATGAGGAACCCATTTTCCAAACTTTTGGACTTTGCCAAGTGCACGCAATTGATTGGAAATTGTTTTTTTGTGAACAATTTAAAGTTGTCGCAAGCTCTTGTTGGGTAATTTGAGGATTTTGCACCAAAAGAGCTTGAAGAGCTTCTTGATCAAAATTGGACACACGGCCTCGACCACTCTTGTTATCTAACGAAAAATTTTCCTCGTGAAATTTCTCAAACCAACGCTGGCATTTTCTGGCACTAACTGCATCTTGACCAAGAGCACTACAGATGTTTTTTGCAGCCTCACTTGCTTTTCTTCCTAATTGGAACTCGTAAAGCATGCAGTGCTGAATATGCTCTTCATCCGCCATCTTCTTAGCCCTGGTTTTGCAACAAAAACCAAACCAAACACAAACTTTTTCAAGCAAAACTTGTTAATTGCACTTCACACGTTCTGTAGATACCACATGTTTGAAGGTTATGTCAATACAAGTCAACGCCAAGCAAGATTTTAAACGAATGTTTAAAAACGACATTAATTATTACTAGACCGATATATTAACCCATAAAATGAGCTCCAGTCACTTATTTTTTAATGAGAGTATATTTCTTTGTGATATTACATAATTTTAATGATCAATTTTATAATGCATTATATATTTATTATTAATTTCCAAATTAAAATAGCGGTTATTTTTATTATTTAATAGTAACAGAATTTTTACTAAGAATTTTCAGTAGTAACTGATTTAAAAGAGGTTTCCAAATTATATTTAGTTATTCATACATGATTCCCCATAGCTGAATACAAAGAACCTTAATGTAAATGTACACAATATTGCTCATATTTTTGTTAGGCAACTGTCTAACATATTTTTGTTAGGCAACTGTCACTCCACCTTCTTTCTCTTGGTTCAGTGTGCCCATGTACTCTGTCTTGAGAACACTTTTGGGACATTTGTCTCTGACCATGGCTGTGTGTGTGTACTGTGGGGAGGAAGGGGCAATTTTGCTTTGAGAGTGAAGATGTTAGAGAGGTCCTGTGGCCCCATGCAGGGGATCATTCTATATAACTTATGGCTACAACTTACTGCTACGGGGCAAGTGGGAGATGAAGAAAAATTCCAGCAGTTAACCCCAGGAGAGCTTCCATTTCTCATTTACTAGTATTTTCTCCTTTAAGTGTGATTAAGAAACATCTGCACTACATAGAAAACCATATAATGTGAAATTGCACTTTGTAACTCCAGGCTCTATCTGGAGCTAGTTTATTTATAAAAGAAGGATAGCTACAGAGCAAAAACTAGTGAAAAAGAAAACAGGACAATAAGCTGGAGCTGCCCATCTCCGGCAATAATACATTTTGTGCAAAGCTTCTCCACACACAACTTCCGACATTCTCACTCTGCCTTTATCCCCAGAACTTAGCAGCTTCAATCTTCCCGCACAACCCTTTCCATTAAGGTACCATCATTTGTTTTGTGTTCAAGTTATATATTTACTGTGGTATTTCTTTCTATATTGGGAATTTAACAAGTCTTTTTAACTTTGCTAAATTTTTATTAGGACTGCTATTTATTAATGTTCTGGTTACAAAGTTACAACACTATTTTTTCCTGTAAGTAAGGTGATAGACATCAGAAGAAGCAGGTACAGACACTGCACAAGGTATCATTGCTAGGGGCAAGTAGCTTGGGCTCACTGTCTTGTTACCACTCACCCCATCCCAAAACACACACTGTTGTTTTTTAATTGTTTTGGCTCTTTTGTCATCTTTCTTTTCATAAACTGCTCAAGTGGTTCCAAATAGAACCTTAGCCTTACAAGTACAAGCTTGCTACATTCTGCTGTATAAGGATTATTTTCTATTCATTATAAGTTTTTCAAAAATCCCAAGTTTGTCAGAATACATATAAGAGCTAACAATATAATCAGAATGAAAGAATGTTTGCTTAGAAGCATATAAAAAGGATAGACTAAGGAGACAAGTTTCTTCCACTAGCATCTAGACAGGTTCCTTAATAACTACAAATCTATCCAAGAATAAAAAATATGTAGAATGGATTAACTTCTAAAAAGGAAAGCCTGATCCTTTTCTTGTTTTAATGTGATATGATTTAAAATATACATAATCACTTTAAATATACAATCACCTATTATTCATCAACTTCATTTTTAAATAGTTCTACCTCTTTAAAAAGGAGAGTCCTAAGTATCTCAACAGATAATTAATCCTGATTTGTTCTCTAGATAGTACTCTATAAATAACCAAATAAAATTCTGTTTGTAACCCTATTTTCTTTGGCTCTGATTAGCAGAAGGTAATTTCCAGGAGGCTAGATCAATGAACATTGAAGACTTCAGACCTTAATACTTATTTATAGATATAACAAATTGTTGGTACAACTATGACTTTTGCTTTTAATAATCATCATCATAATCCTTTTTTCATAAGTACTATGGCTTACTAACTGCTTTCAGCATTCATTATCTCATATGAGTATTCCAACAATCATGTAACAAAGACATGAGAAATAAAAATAACATTTTTCATTGAACTAAAAAACAAATGAAAGGAAAACAAAAATAAAAACGCCCATAATTCTTCTAACCAAAAATAAATGTTATAAGTGACTTAGTGTACATACTTTCTTGAACTTTCCATTATGTTACTGTTTTCATAAAAATGGCATATTATACGTAACTTTTTTAGCTTGCTTTCCCCCCTTTTGCTATGTCAGGATCTATCTCTGTAACTAAATATTCACCCATCACATTATACCTAATGGATTAAAAGCATTCCGTTGTATAAACACATCATAGATTCAATCCATTAAACCTATTTTACAGAAAAGGTGAGTCTTGAGAGGTGAAGTCATATCATAGAGTGAGAGCTATGAACTAAAACCTTAGCCTTCTGATTGCTAATGGAATATTCCATCCACAATGGTTTCTGGAAGGGCTAAAACATACCCAATACTGACAAATACAACCATTAAGACTGAATAAAGTCTGATACATACCTAACCACATGCGAATGATGCTCATGTAGTCTTTGTTCTTGGCACAGAGAAGTTTGTCATAGGAAGGACAGCCTGCCAGAAGGATGCGGTCATGGTCCTCACACATGGATATCAGATGTTGCTCTGCGCTTCGTGTGCAGCACACATGATAGTGAGCCAGTTTTGTGATGGCATGTCTAATGGAATCGTCAATAGTCCCACTGACTTCCCCGCCTTCAATGTGAAGGATTCGGATGTTCATCAAGGCAGCAGATGTGGCCAGTGCCAGGGCATCAAACCTGTCTCCGTGGACAATCATGATATCAGGCTTCAGGCGATTCAGGACATCTGGTAGCTTCACTAGAGCCAGGCCTACTGACTCAACCATGGCTGCCTCATCTTCCCCTCTCACGATCGTGTGTAGCCTGGTGTTAATGTCAAAGTCATCTTGTTCAATCATGCGGTATGTATTTCTGAAGCAAGAGAGAAATGAAGACAAAAACGTGAGAAAAGCTGTCTAAAATCAACTCTGAAAGGAGAAATATTTTATAAAATTTCCTTGTTAAACAAATTGAAGTATAACTTACAAAAAATTAAAAATAGACCATAAATGCATATATCACCCGATTAATTTTTCTATCTGCATTAACCTGTAGCTACCACCCAGATTAAGACATAACCATCCAGCATCTTGGAATCTCACTTGTGCCCCTCTGGGTACCTGGAGGGAAAACTATCTGAGGGGGAGGTTGTTTTTTTTTTAATTAGGAAAAAAGAGACCAAAATTTACATTGGTCATGACATTTTCTCTTTTTTTTCTACATTTATAAATGTTTAAAAACAAATATGCTACTTAATAGGAAAAAATGTTACTTATAAAAGCAAAGCTCATTTTAAAAATATAGTAGGGAACCAGGACACCAAACATATCACAACAATACCAATTTCTGAATGATGGAAATTATCACCTGAATTTTCCTTGTATGGTACTACTAATGCAGCAGAGTTCCGACTGTAACTTTCACAGCATTAAACTGGCTGTGAAATGCTGTTTCAGGCTTTAGTAACAACAGTAATTCTCAATGCCTTAAAGTTTCCTGTCTGTTATAAGATTCTGAAAGATATGGCTTTTTCCCCCTAAATATATATTTATTATTTAAAAATTGGAAAATACTAAAAATTATCATTCATAAACCTACACTCAGTGTTATCGTTTTGATTTCCTTTCTAGCCATTTTATGCATAATATTTTAATCTGGTTGAGATTACATACAATTTTGTATTCATGTAATACTAATTTCTTCAGTTCATGACGGCTTCTTTACATACATCACTGTATAGTATATGGACTTCTATCGATATTAGTCATTCCAAAGACAATCTTTATGTCTTTATACACCTTGCTTAATTGTACTGGCTGTTATATCTAGTACAATTGAAGAGAAGTGGTAAAAGGGGGAGCCCTTATCTTGTTCCCAATTTTAGGAGGAAAGCATAAATTTTATGTTAGCTGTAGGTTTTTCACAGATGTCCTTTATCCATTCTATCCAAGCTTATTACAAGTTTTTATCATAACTAGTTGTTTAATTTCATCAAATATTTTTTAATATGTATTGATATGATTGTATGGATTTTCCCCTTTATTCTGTTGAGATGTGAATTATAATTGATTTTCAGATGTTAAAATTTCTGAGATAAGTCCACTTGGTGGCAATGTATTATCGTTTTGCCACTTCATCTAAATTGATTGTCAATTTTCTTAGCCTAATATTCCCCTTTTATTCTCTTTCTTAAAACTTTATTGTTGGAAGTGTTACATATGTCCCCTCTTTTATTCTTTTAAAGGCTGTAATATTTTGAAAGAAATAACTTTTGACTGTTAATTTTCTCTATTGTTTAACCTATTTTTATATTTCATTGATTTCCACTCTTTATTATTTCCTTCTTGTTTACTACAGTGGAAACAGATCATTGACTCTAAACTTGTCTTCTTTTTAATATAGTATTTAAAGCTATAAATTTCCCTGTAAGCACTGCTTCATTTACAATCACAATTATACAGTTCAAAATATTTTCTTTTTTTAACATTTATTTTTAATTTTTGTTAATCCTCACCCGAGGATAATTTTCCACTGATTTTTAGAAGAGAGAGGGGGTGAGGGGGAGACAGAGAGAAAGAAACATTGGTTGGTTGCCTCCCACATGCGCCTGACCAGGGCGGGGATCAAGCCTGCATCCAAGGTACGTGCCCTTGACCAGAATCGAACCGGAACCCTTCAGTCCCCAGGGCTGACATGGTATCCACTGAGCCAAACCAGCCAAGGCCAAAATATTTTCTAATTTCCCTTAGGATTTCTTATTTAGCCCATGGCTTTAAACTCATAAATAATACAACCAATTAAACCATGGGCTAAAGATCTTAACAGACCCTTCTCCAAAGATGTTAATGTTATAAAGATGGCAAAAAAAAAAAAAAAAAAAAAAGCATATGAAAAGATGCTTCACACCTTATGTCATCAGGAAAATGCAAATTAAAACAATGAGACACCACTACACACCTGTTATATTAGCCAAAATCCAGAACACTGACACCACCAAATGCTGATGAAGAATTTGAGCAACAGGAACTCTCATTCGTTGTTGGGGGGAAACAAAATGATACAGCCACTTTGGAAGACAGCTTGGCAGTTTCTTACAAAACTAAGTGTACTCTAGTCATACAATCCAGCAATCGTACTCCTCTGTTTACCCAAAGAAGATGAAAACTTATGTCCACAATCCACCCAAAAAGCTGCAATACATATCTTTATAGTAATATTCTTTAGCGCTGAAAAGAAATCACTATCAAGCTATTAAAATACACGAAGGAAACTTAAATGCTATTGCTAAATGAAAGAAGCCAATCTGAAAAGGCTACATATTGTATGGTTCCAATTCTATGACATCCTGGAAAAGATAAATCTATGGAGACAGTAAAGAAAAAGTCAGTGGTTTCCTGGGGTGAGGGTAAAGAAGGGTGGATACGGAAAGCAGATTTTTAAGGCGGTGAAACAACTCTGAATGATACTGTAACAATGGGTTCATGTCATTATAGATTTGTCCAAACCCACATAATTTATACCATCAAACTGAACCCTAACATGGGTTTTCTTAGGCAGAGTTTCATATTTTTAAAAGCTATGAAAAATTTGAGCTGTCCATAAATTTCTTCTCTACTCTAAGTTCTTTTTATTTTATTTTATTTTATTTTATTTTATTTAAAAAAATATATTTCATCGATCTTCTACAGAGAGGAAGGGAGAGGGACATTGATTAGAGAGAAATATCAGTTAGCTGCTTCCTGCACACCCCTCACTGGGGATGTGACCGCAATTAAGGCACATGCCCCTGACTGGAATCGAACCTGGGACCCTTCGGTCCGCAGGCCGACGCTCTATCCACTGAGCCAAACTGGTTTGGTTCTACTCTAAGTTCTTAGAGAAAATTGCTAAATTGGTTTTTGGAGGCAGGTTTTTATTTGTTTGTTTTGTTATTGTGATTATCTTGTTTTTAAAGAACAGTCTGAGCCGAAACCGGTTTGGCTCAATGGGTAGAGCGTTGGCTTGGGGACTGAAGGGACCCAGGTTCGATTCCGGTCAAGGGCATGTACCTTGGTTGCGGGCATATCCCCAGTAGGGGGTGTGCAAGAGGCAGCTGATCGATGACTCTCTCTCATCGATGTTTCTAACTCTCTATCTCTCTCCCTTCCTCTCTGTACAAAAATCAATAAAATATATTTAAAAAAAAAAAAAAAAAGAACAGTCTGAAAAAAAACACAATTTTACTTCAACACAAGCTGTTTTCACACTTAATATTGTATTTCTGACCATCTTTGAAGACTGCATTAACATTTTCATGCCACAAGGGTGCACTAACTGCTACTTTGTTACATATAATAAAATGAATGTTCACCTTTGGTTTATATACTCTGCTCCTTCAAAAATTTCCCAATTTTCATTTTTCATATTTCACCTCTGATCAATAACAAACCTAATGTCGTCGGAATAAATATCAATGGTAATGGTAAAATAACATTTTCCTTAGCCTAGTAAATAAATTAGATTTTTTTAAATCTTGTTCCATATCTACTACTCTATATGCTATTGATCCATATACCAGTTTTAATGTCGAATTACCATTAGAACTCACAAAACATATAACATGGAATCACATTATTATATCACACAATAAGTGCCATTTCTCCTTAATATAATAACAAATAATATTAATAGCTATTTATCAAGCATCCATTAAGCAGCATCATTGTGATGAATTCTCTATATCACTATCTCCATTCTTCACAATAACCTACATCACAGGTTTTCACTTCATTTTGGAATTGAGGAATCTGAGGCTCAGAGATGCTAAGCTACTTCTCTAAGGCCACGTAAAAACTAAGTGGTAGAGATTTTAAATGCTGTTGGGAACACAAGCACCTTCCTCCTCGGCTTTGCTCTGAAAGGAAATGGAAGAGGAAGTAGAGTGAGTGACACAATATCAAGGGACAACTGTCCTGAGTGCTGGGACCTGTGAATAGGACAGAAGAGGACCTTGCTCTCATATTCTGACAGTCTGCAGGTGCCTGCTGCAGACTCACCCAGATCACTGCTACCGAAAGTGGCTGATATATCCTGGTGCAAACCTTGGAGGAACCACAGGACAGCATGGAGCAGCAACTGAACACAAGGGCAAAGACTCATGGGCCAAGGGCAGAAGGCCCTCGGTGGGAACAAGCCAAATCCAGCCACATCAGCCTGCCCAGCAGGAGCCCCTCATCGTGAAGGGGCCTGTGGGATGAAGATGGGGACCACGAGATTAGCTATCAGGTTGGCGAAGAGGATCCCTTCTCTGACTGTTACATAGTGCATCATACGAGAAGCGTTTTCCGAACCCACCCTGAAGAGGACATATTTCTTAAGTCCTTCAACTTCCTGAGAGGAGGGTCAGAGCAAGAGTTTTCTCAACAGGTTTTTGATGATGCAAACTCACTTTTTGAATGTTCCCTGCATTATATGGAAAAAGGAGCAAAAAAGAATTTCCTCAACAGAATGTTGGAGAGAAATCCCTTGTTGAGCATTCTGAGCACATGATAGGCAAGAAGCCTCCTCCTGGAGAAACACCCAACACTAGGCCTGGTAGATCCTACCCAGATTGTAGAATTTGCTAGAAATAAGCCAAGAAAAAATAGAGAAGGTGATGCTCCAGAAAAATTTGTTTGTCCTCAGAGTGGATGCGCAAGAGAATTGAAGGCGAGAAATTCCCTGAGACAGCATCTCCACCTCGTTCATGGCGGCTGCAACCACGTGTGGGAAAGTGTTTCCTGAGAGCTCCAAACTGGAGGAGGCTGCCTCAGTGCACTTTTAAAGGCGCGGAAAACGCTTCTCTCTGGCCTCCAACTTGTGCACATCCACACCGGGGAGAGGGCTTTGTGTGTCCTATGAAGGCTGTCTTGTCCTGTGACATAACCTGAAATCTCACATCTTAACCCATGCAAGACAAAAATAATAAAAGATAGGGGGGGGGAATATTTAAACGGGAGAAGCATTTTAACAAAAGAGTGATTGGGGACAAATATGCCTCATTGATAATTTTCAGGAAAGAATATTTGAATCAATGTTGCAACCCTATAAGGCATATTTTTAAATGTTACTAAGATGCTCCTATTAATTGTGATACCATTCTAAGAACACTGTGTACAAAATGACAGTGTGCTTCCAACAGGAAGGTCAGTAAAAAACTTATTTCAAAAGAATAAAACAGAACAAAACAAAACAAAAAGCCTAAATGGTAGAACTAGGAATTGAAGCTAGATCCACAGAGTAGTTCCTGGATCCAAGCTCTCTCCAGAACACAATGCTGCAATGAAGAGTGTCATGAGAAAATGCTTTCATCTTACCCATAGTCATCGATCAGGTGAGAGCCAAGCACCACCACGTCCAGCTCAAAGAACTCGGGTTCCGTTTTAATGCCACACATGATTGGGGCAAGTTTAGAATAATCAGCACGGTTGCAAGTAGCGACACAAACCCGCAGCTTCCGATTATTCCCATTCTTCTCCATGACTTGATTTTTTCTTTTTGAAAGGTTCTTAAAATAGAGTTCCTAAAGTTACAAAAATAAAAACGATTTGTGATCAGAGTGAAAGGTCCTAGCTATAAACAGAATTTTACGATTGTAAGTCCTTATCCACCGTTCAGCATGGTGATTTATAATCTTTTTTCCTACCGTACTTGTGTGTGACACAGTCATTAGTATAATCCAGAGTTATGAAATTCCAGCTGACTAATTATAACTCCACCCCTGTCTCTCACAATTAAGGAAATACACTGGAAAACACCTGGCTGGAGTGGCTCAGTTGGTTTAGCATCATCCTGTGCACCATGCACTGAAAGATTGCCAGTTTCCGGTCAGGGCACACAGCTGGGTTGGAGCTCCATCAGGTCTCCAGTCAGGTAGCATACAGAAGGCAACCAAGCCAAAACCGGTTTGGCTCAATGGATAGAGCATTGGCTTGGGGACTGAAGGGACCCGGGTTCGATTCCGGTCAAGGGCATGTACCTTGGTTGCGGGCATATCCCCAGTAGGGGGTGTGCAAGAGGCAGCTGATCGATGACTCTCTCTCATCGATGTTTCTAGCTCTCTATCTCTCTCCCTTCCTCTCTGTACAAAATCAATAAAATATATTTAAAAAAAAAAAAAAAGAAGGCAACCAACAATGTTTCTCTTTCTTTACTCTCTTCCCTCCTCCCCTTCCTCTAAGCATGTCTTCCGTTGAGGATTAAAAAAAAAAAAAAAAGAAAAAATACTGGAATGCAATTAAAAAAGAGTGACAGTTATAAGGCAAGCAAACGCTCTGGCCTGTTTGGCTCAGTGGATAGAATGTCAGCCTGGGGACTGAAGGGTCCGGGTTTGATTCCGGTCAAGAGCACATGCCCGGTTTGGGGCTCAAGAAGCAGCCAATCAGTGATTCTCTCTCATTGTTGATGTTCCTCCTCCCTTACTCTCTGAAATTAATAAAAATATTTTTTAAAAAGGCAAGCAAACCTCAGCTCTTTATTAGTTAAAAATTACTTGCCATACCTCAAAATTAATCCCAACATACCAGACTATTGCAAAACTTTGAGAATTACTGATCTAGTTCAACTCTTTCACTAACAAAAAGGAAAACAGGTTTTGAGAGGGAAATTACTTCCCCAAGATTCAGCATCACATCTTATAAGGGACACGAATGTGCACAACATTCGTGTACCGGGGGAGGGTCCCTCAGCCCAGCCTGTTCCCTCTCGCAGTCTGGGACCCCTTGGGGGATGTCTGACTGCTGGCTTACATGCACTCCCAGTGGGGTCCTTAGTGCTGCCACAGAGGCAGGAGAGGCTCCTGCTACCACTGTGCTCACCTATAGGAGCGCAATGACCACCAGGGGGCAGCTCTTGCGTTGAGTGTCTGCCCCCTGGTTGTCAGTGTGTACCATAGTGACTGGTCATTTCCTGTTCAGTCAATTTGCATATTAGGGTTTTATTATATAGGATGATATCCAACTTCACACCACACACCCCTGGATATACAAAGCACTGCGATCAGTGCTGAGGAATAGAAAGATGAGTAAGACAAAGATTAAAACACAACAAAAGAAAAAACAACACTACCTTTAGGGCCTCATTAGCACCTGTAGCCAGTGATTACAAACTTCACAACTCCAAATGCCACCAGAATTTCCTGTCCCACAGACACCTTCAAGTCACTGACACAAACCAAACTCATTTTCTTTCCTAAACTTGTTTCTCCTTCCTTGTTCTCTCACTCAGTTATGAGCCTTCCATTCATTCAAATGCTTTGATATTCTTGTCTCCTCTGTTCGTCACAGTGTGCCTCCTAAGGCCCAATCAATTATTAATACATCTCCTGAATATCTTTCAAATCTCTCTCCTCTCCATCCCAACCCCTCATCGTAGGTCTGAACTAGGGTAACAGCTATCAGTTTGCCTGACTCCAGCTTTGCCCTGCCTCCCAGACTTTCCAAGTGATCTTTCCACAGTTCATAAATCTGATCATCATGCTAACCAGGATGCATCACCTATGGACAAAGCCCAAACTTCTAATCTGGGCCTCGCCCATCCCTCCATCCATTTCAAATGCCCTCACTCTGGGCTGAAGAGCCTGAAGTTCAGCCAGTGGGCCCCTGTGTCTGTGCTTTTCTAGATGCACGTACCTCTCCTAAAACTTCCTTTCCCTCTTGACTGAACACTTCCTCAGACCTCAAAACAGCCTAAGTGTCACTTCCTCTGGAAAGCTTTCGCATGCACCTCATTCCTCCTCACCCCAGCCTTTTAAGTTGCTGCCTGCCTCCGAGCACTGTGGCCCTCCCATACAGATACACACTATCGTTCCACTCCTCTGCCTTCCTGTCTCCCTACCACTCCATACCCATCATTCAAAAAGTAAAAACTAGAGACAAGGGATAAAATTTCACTACACAGATTATCTCAATGTTGATCTTTCAGGAAGTGTACCAATGTTTAGAATTTGCACTTAGGAATCCAGAAAAGCTTGAGTAAAGATGCAAATAAAAAGGAGCTACCTTTTAGATGCCTGGCCAGAGTGGCTCAGTGGTTGAGCGTCGACCTATGGACCAGGAAATCACAGTTCAATTCCTAGTCAGGGCACATGCCCGGGTTGCGGGCTCAGGAGTGTGCAGGAGGCAGCTGATCAATGATTTTCTCTCATCATTAATGTTTCTATCTCCCTCTCCCTTCCTCTCTGAAACCAATTAAAAGAAAAAATTTTTTTAAGGGAGCTCCCTTCAGATCAGGATAAACTCTGAAATTCAGTGGAAATCTATCAGTAGCTCTCTGTCGTTGGTATCTCATCTCTTAGGCTAGAACTTCCGTGATCGCACAAATTGCCTATAACTGGGCCATTCTGAATTTACAATCTCAGTAAAAGCTAATTCCACCTAATAGAAAGCATTTATAAGATAATGAGCATTCTGTCAAGAATTATACAGTAAGTCCTCACTTAATATTGTCAATAGTTTCTGTGGCTAAGTGAAACAAAAGTAATTTTACCATGGGCCAGCAATTTTCAACTCATGGCACACATAAACTACTAAAATTCTTCGACACAACAACAAAAATATATATATATTGCCAATTTGACAAAAAAAATTGTATAATTTTTATTTACTCAGATATTTCAAGTTTTTTTTTTAGAGTAAATCTTTACTTTTTAAAAAATATATATTTTATTGATTTTTTACAGAGAGGAAGAGAGAGAGAGAGTTAGGAACATCGATGAGAGAGAGACATTGATCAGCTGCCTCTTGCACACCCCCTACTGCAACCAAGGTATATTCCCTTGATCGGAAATCGAACCCGGGACCTTTCAGTCCGCAGGCCGACACTCTACTGAGCCAAACCGGTTTCGGCTAGATATTTCAAGTTTTAAAGATTCCTGCAACACAACGGAGGAAAATCACTGGCCTGTGGCATCTCATCAACATTATAAGAAAACAATGCTGCCGTATTAATAAGATCTAAGCACTACCTCATAATTAGAGACAAACATATTTTTCTAAAACTGGTTGTCTTAAGTGTTCTTGTACATAATCCTTTTCCACTCGATACATTTAAGATGAGTACACTGCTGGCGATATTTACTTTGCTGGGTGAAGCAAAGCAAATCATTCACGGTTGGTCAATTTGTATTTATTTTAAAAGAACAGTAAATATATGGCAACACTAAGATGCTTAGTATTTACTAGGTAACTCAAAGGTTATTCTTCCAAAACTGAAAGTAAACTAGCTATATAAATAAGCTATGAAAAATACCAAGTTACTTAGGCCAATCCAATAAGGTTTCTACAAGAAATGTCTAGCATATAAAGAGAATAGATAAGACTTGCAAATCTCATTTCTTGAATTACATTAATGTTTGTCTTTACCCAACCCCTAAAAATTAACTTGTTCCAATAGCACTTAGTAGCAGTCTAGGTTACCTAGTTGACTGTCACGGTATCACAATGCTCCTCTTCAAATAAACTTTATTTTACTTAACACTGGTCCCAAATAGTAAGAGTAGAGATACTGGCAGTACAAATACGCCAAAGAGAAGCAGTAAAGTGCTTCCTCTAAATGAAAACGTGGAAGTTCTCAACTCAGTAAGATACATACTGCTAAAATCTACATTAAGAATCAATCTTCTGCTGGGACCGGTTTGGCTCAATGGATAGAGTGTCGGCTTGGGGACTGAAAGGTCCCGGGTTCGATTCCGGTCAAGGGCATATACCTTGGTTGCGGGCACATCCCCAGTAGGGGGTGTGCAAGAGGCAGCTGATCGATGACTCTCTCTCATCGATGTTTCTAACTCTCTATCTCTCTCCCTTCCTCTCTGTACAAAATCAATTTAAAAATATATATATATATATATATATATGAATCAATCTTCTATGGGTTTAGGGGAAAAAATCGTGCTAGTTTTGCTGTCGCACTTCAAACTTTAAAAGGTAAAGGCACAGTGTGTAAGTGCTTAGTTCAATGGTAAAGGCAATAAACGTCATAGATATGTATACATAGAGGGGGAAAAACAGGGTTCTGTACTAACGGCTGGTTTCAGGCATCCACTGAGAATCTTGGAACCTGTCCCCCATGGAGAAGGGGGAGACTCCTCTTTCCTCAGTGCAGAGAGGATGAGACACACAGAAATTAAAACACACACACACACACACACACACACACACAAAACAAAAACAAACAAACAAACAAAAAAAACAAAACAAAACAAAACAAAAAAACCGGGGCTACCTAAAAGTGTTCTGAAATTCAGCACTCTTATTCCTGAGCTATCAAATCTGTTTGGCTTCTTCCAGAGCTTCTACAGTCCGGTTAATCAGTTGTCAACAATCCCCGCGTCTCTATCAGAGGAGCAAAGCATGCTTGTTCGCGCTGTACCCGTTTACAAGTGTGCTCAGGACGGGTGCGCGTCCGTGCGTGCAGGGGCGTGTGTAACAAAGCTCAGCACACTTCCAGGGAAGCCCAGACTCAGAATGTGGTCAGGGTTGGGCGCAAACGCCCCAAGTCATCTTTTACCTCAACCTTTACACCCAG